TCTCTCTCTCTCTCTCTCTCTCTCTCTCTCTCTCTCTCTCTCTCTCTCTCTCTCTCAGATAGGGTCTCTCTACATAGCCCTGGCTGTTCTGGAAGTCACTTAGTAGATCAGGCCAGCCTCAGATTCAGAGATAATTCTTCTGTCTCCCAAAAGCTGGGATTAAAAATGTTCCCCACCATGTCTAACCCTTGAAGTAAAGAGGACTATGGATCATTAAGTACTGCTTGGGTATAGAACATTTTTCAATGTAAAAGGTTTTTTTTTTTTTAAAGTTAAAACAAAAACAAAAACAAAAACAACTGTCTTAAGTTTCTGAACCATTTCTGAATATGGCAGCACATAATTATCACTAAATCAGTATAGTAATACCTTATTGGCAATTTTTTTTTGAGACAGGGTTTTTCTCTGTATAGCCTTATTCTAGACCAGGCTGTCCTTGAACTTGCAGAGATCTGAATGCCTCTGCCACCTTGTGTGCTGGGATTAAAAGTATACACTGGCACACCCGGGTATTATTGGCAATTTTTATACTTTTTACTATTATAATAAATTCATCTCTTGTTCAAGCTCAATAAAATTAAAAAAAAATCAAAATAACAAGTATTTTTTGTTGCCTTTTTAGTTAGTTTGTTTTTGAGACAGAGTTATTCTGTGTAGCCCTGGTTGTCCTAGAACTTGATCTACAGACCTAGTGGCATTAAACTCAGAAAAATCTGTCTGCTTCCCTAGAGCTGAAACTAAAGGTGTAGCCGCCCAACCCCTTATGCTAGAAATGGCCATGTTCATGCTAGACAAGTATTCTCCCCCAATCCAATTTTTAGCAACAAAATAGTGGAAGACAACAGAGCATCATATTTAGGTACAATTCTAGTAATATCTGAACAGGAATGAGCCAGTGGTATTAGATATTTAATCACCGGAACTTCTGAATGACTTTATCATTTAACATAATACTTTAACAGAGATTATGAAAATTTCAATTCTTACCTAAATTGGCATACATTACAAACAAGTTGAAATACTGCTGCAAATGACGTCCATGCTCTGAAACTTCCCTCCTCAACAGATTTAGTACTGCTCTTAGTAAGTGGTCACTCAAGCTTAAGTTGTCATAAGCCTGTAAAGAAGAAAACACTAGCTGATTCTCAAAAAGGTGCGAAGATAATTATAATATGTTGAGCACAGAATACTTTCCTGAAAGAACTGATCACATGAACTCTATCCACCCTGTCCACCACTACTAGATTGATTCAAGAACTTGTGTATGCTAATGTGAGAAAAGAGCTTTACCACTGAGCTATCTCCCAAGACCTCTTACTATTGAAGAAAGCAACTCAATGTGGTTGACCTAAGCCAACTTACATTTCCCAACCTAGCTTCCTAAGCAGAAGGGATTATAGGCCTGTGACAAAAACTGTTTAAAAAAAATCGATTCCTGCAAAGGTAATGAAGATCAAGTAGAATTACTAGTTTTTGTTTTAAGAGTTTTGTTTTGAAACAGGGTCTCAGTATTCAGAACCCAGGTTGGCTTTGAACTCTCAATCTCTCAAGCCTCCTAAGTTTGAGTTATAGCCACGTGTTACCACACCCAGATTTTCAGTTCATTATAGATTTTTCACTTTGCTGCAATTAAAACCAAAAATGTTTATTTAAAAATTCAAAATGAAGTATACATGAAAATCCCATGTGACAACACTACTTTGTAAGCTAATTTAAAAAGAGCTGGTGAGATATCTCAATGGGTAAAGGAGCTTACCACCAAAACAGAGGAGTGGGAATTTGATCTGGGACCCACAAGGTGGAAGGAAAATTGACCTCCACAAGTTGTTTTCTGACCTCTGCACTTGTGCTGCAGCACGTGTTCAACATTCCATACTAAAAGAAGTTTAAAGAGCACACATACACATATAAAAAATTCATTTTAGGAATGTTCTCTACTACTGAACTAGGGCACCCAAGTATTTTAGAAGCGTAAATAATCATTGTTGGGTTTCACCTAATAATTTTAATGAAACTCAAAAGTTGTCTGTTACCGCGGTAAATATAAAAAAAATGTATTTTTAGTACACTCAAGTTTCTCTCTTCAACTTTGAGAAAACACATTTTTCATTTTGTAATTACATAACTAAACAAAGGTACAATTACCTGACTAGAAGGTCCAGGAGATGCAAAAGGTGAAGGACATGGTCCATCTTGCAAGGAAAAATGTGCAATGAAAACTATAAGTTTTGCGAATGCACCTCTCACTTCTGCACTAGGGCATTCCAAAAGGTACTCAGAGAATCGATTTGAAACATTAAAAAGGACATTGTGAGCAAACCAAAAACGCACATTCTTGCTGTGACGAAGAAGAATACACAGTGCATCATACCTACAACAAAATAAACCACAGCTATCAATTCAGTTAGTTCACTTTTCTTAAAGATTCTATCTTTCCTATAGTAAAACGTTCAGAACAAAAACAGCAAATATCTTTTTTCACTGCAGAGAACAGCACTATTGAAATTAAAACGACTGAAGGTACATGTCTTTAATTTCTAGGAAGATCTGAGTTTAAGGCAAGTCTGGTTTACAGAGAGCTAAAGGGCAGTTAGGTCTACACAGAGAAACACTGTGTGTATAGGTGGGGGACAAAAGGGGGAGGATGACAAACAGATGAATAATATATGGCCAACTCTAATCTCATGGAATTATAAAATAGGTGAAAGCTTGTACTGGGTCATTAAAACCCCATAACTAGTCAAAGATGGTGGTTTCAGCACCCAGGAGGCTGAGATTGAGTCCAGCCTAGTCTACAGAGTGAGTTTAAGAATACCTAGGGCTACACAGAGAAGCCCCATTTCTAAAGACAAACAAAATCCATTAGTAAATAATGGTAAAATATTTTCTTACTGTACTATCTTCTGGGTTAAGTTTTATTAAAACAAAACAAAACAAAAAAACAAAACAAAACAAAAAAACCCCAAACAGTTGTGTGTGTGTGCGTGCACATGTGCATGCTGCATGTGTAGGTAAAAAGGGCTACTGACAGGAACTGGTTCTCGCCTTCTACCATGTGGATTTGGGGACTCGAACAAGTTTTGTAAGGTTTGGTGACAAACGTTCACCTACCAAGCCACCTTACTGCCTCTGAGTAAGTAACAACTGTCAATAAAAGGCACCATAATCGTCTGTGTACTTATTTTTACCCTTTAAATTTTTGTGAAGTATTTTTTTTATTCTTTCAATTTTGAAATAATAGTCTCATGGCTCTGGGAAAAAAAAAAAAAAAGCACTCTACTAAAGACCACCACCAAATCTGAAACAGGAATAAAAATCTAAAACAAGTTACCAATCACTGGCAGAGCCACGGACTATTTTCTTTGTGTGAAATCCTGTAGTAAAAAGAAACCTAGCAGCAAGTTGAATACTAATCATAGTGATTTCTTCTGCTTCAGGAGACAGGTGATCTTGTCCTAAAACAAACAAAAAAATATATTTAAAAAACAAATTTCTGTTCAAGCCTTATTTTCAAAAACTCAGTACTCTGAATTCTCAATGTGTGAAAACTGATTACTTATGAAGTTCTTATTCCTCATTTTAGAACCTAATACAGTATTTTATACTAATGTACCAGGAGTTAAACACAGATTTCTTTCAACAAAAACTTTCCTGTCTCCAAACAGAATGTCAATACTTTTTGATCAAACACAAAAAGTATTACTTAGCCAAAAGCAACTATATACACCCTTTCAAAATGAAAACACAAATTTTATAAATTTAAGTAAGGAAGATTAGCTGGGCATGGTGGTACACGCTTTTAGGCCTAGTACTCAGGCAGAGGCAGATGGATCTCTGAGGTCCAAGACAGCCTGGGTGAGAGAGAAACACTGTGTATAAAACAAACAAAACCACAACCCACCCCAAACAAAACAACCCCAAGCCCACAAATACCCCTCACCCGATCAAAAATGAGAATGAGGACTAGAATATATGGCTCAGCAATCACGAATGCTTGTTGCTCCTACAGGTCTGAGGTTATGTTCCCAACATTCACACTACAAGTCCAGTTCCAAGGGATCCAATGCCCTCTTCTGGACTCCTCAAGAACTGAATGAACACGGTGCACAGACATGTATGCAGGCCAAACAGTCAAACATATAGGATGAATAAAGCTGGTGGTGGGCAGACACCTTTAAGCTCAGCAGAGGCAGGCTAATCTCGGATTTTGAGGCCAGCCTGGTCCACAGAGTGACCAGGACACTCAGGGCTACACAGAGAAACCTTGTATGGGGGGGGGGGGGGGGGGAGAAAAAAAAAAAAAAAAAAAGCCCCAAAAAGAATACAGCTAAAAAAGAAAAAGGCTATGCTTGCTAATACATCTTATTTGCAAGATACATTTTACAAATAATATATCTTATTTGTAAGATGTATTAGCAAAGATTATACACACATACATATATATATATATATATATATATATATATATATATATATATATATATATATTATAGCAAAGATTACGCTTTGCTATAAGACGCTAACTGTTGACACTTACCTGGAGGAGGATTTAAGTAAACACCATTACACGTAAGTAGTTTTTTCATAAACTGGAAATATTCCAAACTGTACTGCATTCGGTTGTGCATGAACTGTACATTCTGCTTCCGTACACTTCTCTCAATGGCTGATGGCATAACAATCTGATGGGGCCTTGTGGTGATAGCAAGTTCTGATATGTATCTTACCAACTCATCACCATGATCTATTGTGTCCATTCGTTCATAAAAAAGTATGTATGCATTCCACCACCTTTTCTGGCGCCGGTACGACATGCGCTTCATCATGTGATCAAACACTTCTCCCATGTACTCTCCACCAAAACACTGGTTTTTCATTTCTTCATCATCATCCATTTTACACTCCGTTACATCTCCATCATCAAATTTATACCAGCGATTTTTTTCACCATCCCCTCCATTCCTCTGAATGATGTAAGAATAGTAATGTCCCCCACTTGCTTGACCACTGTGCACAAGCACACCTACAAGTCTGTATTTTGTGCTTCCTGATTTCTCGCTTTCAGACTGTTCATTCTGTTGTATCAGCTGACTTTCTGGGTTTACATTATCTCCCTCCAGTTTAGCAACACCCGCAACTGTGTAAGGTTCCATGTCTAACTCTCGAGGAAATTCAAAGTAATCATTGAACTTGATTGCACATTCTCTTTCCCAGTCATAATCGAATCGTTTTAGTTGGATAGCAAGAACAGGAGGTAATTTCTTAATCAGTAAGCGCTTTACAGTATCAACCTAAAATCAATAGAAAAAAATTAATAGATATAATCTACTGGGGTAAAAGAAAAAAAAAATCAAACCAAAACCCAAGCAAATAGCACCATTCCTAAATTAGAAAGTGGACCTAGGGTGTCACACATGCTAAGCAAGTACTCATCCTTTAGCTGTACTTCCAATTCCTTTTCACTCAGGCTGGCTTTGAACTTGCTCTGTAGCCTAGACAGGCCTTTCCATGTGTGATTCTCTTAGCCTCCTAAAGAACTTGAGGTTACAGGCTTGCGTCACCAAGACCACCAGACCAAGTCAACTTTTCTCAGGATAGGGCCTCATACTATAGTTCCAGTTGGCTTCAGATTAGTGCACTATGAATCTTAGGCAGGCCAAACCCATGGCAATTCTCGTGCTTTGGGTTCTCTTATGTAGTTGTAACTCACTACATCTAGCTCTTCAAGCAAATGATTTTATGTCTAAGTATATTCCACGTGTGTATACACTGGCTGAGAAGACCAGACAATGGCATTAGACTCCCTCAAAGTGGAACCACAGATGGCTGTGAGCTTCCACATGGGTGTTTGAAACGGACTTTCAGGTCCTCTACAAGAGCAGTAAAAGCAAGCACTCTTATCGGCTGAGCTATCTCTCTAGCCTCTTAAGCAAATTCTTAAAAAGCACTGTATCAAGTTTTCCTAAGACTTACTTGAATTACAATCACAAGTTATGTCTGTGAAGTTGATGTAAACATTAACTGGTTAAAAACATGCCTGTATCAGTTAATATAAATTGCAAAAATTAGTCATTTACACATTACTTAATGTCTGGTTTCTATACTGTTCTTACCTCTAGACAACGTTTGTTATTTATACTTATTCCAACTAAGGAATAGTTTACTTTTTAATTAGAAGGTAGGTAGTTGCTTCATACTCCATAACCCCAATGTATAGACTTTATACTTCTCTAAGTAGTGTGATAGGCTTAACACCACAGATGACTTAAGAGGTGAAATGCTTTGGAAGTCAGAAAATATAAACATAATTTACTATTCACACATGTGACTGTCCCTCTCCCTAGAAGAGCTAAGTTCCCATAGATAAAATCTAATCAGGTAGTAAAAATAAATTTTACTGTATTAAAAAATATTTTCAGCAAAACAATCCAGGATGTTAAGAGGAAATATGATTTCCATCAGCTCTGGAGTTTGTTTCTTGGTAGAAACAAATTTACCCGTCTTAATACACATAACAGAGGTTGTTTTTCTAGCCTTTTCTGTCATTACATTTAACTTCCTTCCACCCCAAACTCTCTTAAACACAATTGTTTCTTACCACAACAAAAACCAATCAACACCTTCAACATTCATGAAATATGTCAGGTGTGGTAGTGCACACCTTTAGACCTAGACCTGAAGTAGAGGCAGGTAGATCTCTACTAGTTCAAGGCAGCCTGATTAATACAACCTGGGACATGTAGAAGACTATCTCCAAAAACTAAAACCTCCGCCACCACCAACAGAAAAGACCCCGAATATAGTAATTATAATTAAGGTATGTATACGTGTATAAACACACATACTTTAAGTGAACCACATCCTCAAAGAAAACTCTCTCCTTACCAAGAAGCTACTGATAACCCATAATTCCGCAGTTAGTTATCATAGTTACCGTAACAGATAATTCATACCTTTTTATTGCATTTTTCACAATGATAAGCATTTGCCCCTTCTAGTAAATCTCCTTTGACATACTGTTCCAAAGAATCAAGAAGATTTTGGTGGTTTCTAATGTCTACATTCAGAGTTGTGAAAGATTCTTCACATTCATACCTAAAAATATTTAGGAAATTATCAGAAAAGGATTTATCCTTAAGTTCGCTACAAACATCATTATAAGAAAACTAAACTTGTAATACTCAGACCACAAAACCTGTAAGTTATAGAATGTTACCAATACTGAGGCCGTTTTTAGACTGTGCTGGTCACTACATTAGGTTGATTACAAACTTTATATGCTTAGTTCTGTATCTTCATGATAAAATTGCTAGAGAACTAACATTACCCACTTGAGTAAAATGGAAATTAAGACAATCCTGCCAGGGAGGCAGAGACAGGCTGATCTCTTTAGTTCAAGATGAGCCTGTTCTAGTTTCATGACAGCCAAGAATATACAGAGAAATCCTGTCTCAGAAAAACTAACCAACCAACCAACCCAAACCAAACCAATCAACCGACCAATCAGACAGGGCTATACGGGCTTAAGCTCTTTTTTAGTCTACAATATTTTCAGGTGTGATTTGTTTTGACAGTAATTATGGACTCCATTGTATCCGTGGCAAGTGCTCAATTCTGCCATTCATAAAAGTAAACAGTATATAACAGAGTGAGCAAGTTCCAGTAAAACTTTTTAGAAATAGGTTACTGGCTAGGTTAGGTCCATGCTCTTTTATCTTTTTGACCACTCTTCTGGGCAAATCAAGTACTGTTATATTAGACATGGATTTAGTTGTTGTTCAAGCATTATGGATCTGACTTGAAGAATATGTTTTTAAAATTTCCTCTTGGCAAAAAATATCCAACACTTTACAAGACTAATAGAAACAGATAATCATCAATAAGGGTTTAATAATTTTGTCATTTGCTTCAAATTAAAGCTCTTTCAAAGGACCAAAAAGTGCCCAGGCTAGGGAAGAATATGCCCAAAGAACACAAACAACTTCTCATGTAAACTCTAAAATCATTGAAGTTCTGATTTATGTAGTACACTTCAATCACTTACTAAAAAACAAAATGCTGTATTCAGTGATAAACTAATCCCATGAGTACATAAAATAGTTTGGCTTATGTAAAAATATCATCTTTAAAAAAATTACACTGTGATCATGCTGGTTCTAACTCCACAATGTTGGACTTGAGGATGGTTTACCTTGCTGAGCCATTTCACTGGCTTTAAAATTATCAACTTGTTTTAAAAGAATTTTAATTGAAAACAATTTAAAAAATATCATTTACCGTGTGTGTGTTTGACTGTGTGTACTACCCATACACAATACATTGTCAGAGAACAACTTTGTGAAGTTGGTTCTTTACTTCTGTATCTTGCCAAACTTGAGCCTCCAAGTGACTTTTATAAGCTGAACCAAATCACTGCATCTAATCAAAAAACGTATTTTTTAAAAGTTCTGTCTAAGTTTGTATGTCTGTCATGTTGTATGTCCACAAAGGCTAGAAAAGTATGTTGGAAGCCCTGAAGTTTGAGTTCTGGTTATTTACTGCTGATATGCATCCTGGGAAATAAACTTGGGTTCTTTGGAAGAACAAGAGCATGTAACTGATGAGTGAGCTCTCCAGGGACCAGCTACTTAAAAAAAAAAAAAAAAAAAAAAAAAAAAAAGCTAACCCTTGTGCATGGGTGTTTTGCCTGCATGTATGTCTGTGTACATTGTACATGACCAGTGCCCACAGAATCCATTATAAAATTCTAAGATAAATGCCAAACTTACAAGTAATATCTCTAGTTATGTGGAAACTATTATATTACTTCCTTAGGAATACATAAAAGAACTGAAAGTATGAAATAGTAAGACATTGAAAGCAATAAAGGAAATCAAGTTATTTAACAAAACCAAAAAGTCATCCCAAAGAACTCAGATATTCACAGTTGTAGCAGTTTAACAGATACTGGCATCTTCTATTTTTATATTAGCACTAATTAAGAATTTTATTCTTGTTGGCGCAACAGTATTATATAGTGGTACTTACCTATGTGGGCAGCCTTGGCAAATCTTCTGATCAGCAAAGGAACCTCCCAAGACTTTACTTAGCATAGCTGGATGCCCTAAGGCTTTTAAAGCTTCATCTAAACTATCCACCAACGAATTAAAGAACTCTAAAGCATCATGTTGTTCACGAAGATTAACAGGCTCACCCCAAAGCCTGAGAAATGAATGGAATATTAACATGTAACAATCGCAACAATAACAAACATTTTATTTTCTAAGGTTGTGGGTAAGGCAATTACAATGACCGCATACTGCAAGCACAGAAGTAGAAAGCAATAAAAAAGCCAGCACTTTATGTTTAGACTATGAGGTGTCAGTGAGACTCACAGTAAAACTGTGCCTTAGAAATACTGATATGGTTAATAGACAGCATGGCTCTCAGAGGGACAATTGACTCAGGTAGTGTGACACACACACACACACACACACACACACACACACACACGCGCGCGCGCGCGCGCGCATTTTGAACCCAGCTGTCGAGAACATTAAAATGAAGTGGTGGATCTTACAGGGACATATGTCCATTACACCACCAAAGCCATCTGATAGGACACCAAGGTATCAGTTATTATCGTTAGTTAATAACTGATAAATAATAAATAAACAAGCTGCTCATGTATGTACAATAAGATGTCTGAATCTTGATTAATATACTTTTCGTGCTCACCTCTGAATCTAATCACAAGGAAACTGAATCTAATCACAAGGAAACAACCTAATTGTGAGGTTCACTAATACAAAGAGTAGAAAACAACAAAAGCATAAGAAGAGATAAAATACCTAGCATTGTGACTCACACCTGTATCTACTAAGGTAGCTGAGTCAAGAAGGATCCTGATTTCGAGGCCAGGCTGTACACCAGTCTCAAATAACAAAATTCAAAACACCAAAAGTAAAAACAAACAAAACAAACAAACAAACAAAAAAAAAAAACCACCAAGAAGGAGAAATATAATCAAGAAGCAAATTTCAGCATAAAAGGTAAGAAAGCAAACAGTTCTCAGAATAAATTGAACAGAATTTTTTTTTAATTTATAAAAGCCTTATAAGAGGCAAAACACAAAAGTCTGAGACTGAATTCGCTCCCAGTACTAAGTAGGGCCTTAGTTAGGATATATATAAGAAACTGCAATTGTTCTTGTTGCTGGGAATGTAAAAACCAATTCTTTATAGTGAAGGAAAAAAAATGAAGAGCCTCACTCTGCCAGAAGCAGGAGAGGAGCGGCAACCCTCTAGGACCTTCTGTCAGTTGCTAAAAGGTCCCGTGGAAGACTTAAGTTTTCCGTTGATGGGATGGGAGTTTGGGTCCTTGGACATGCTAAGTTAAGTGTAATAGTACTAGTTAACTGTATCCTCTGTACCTTGAAGCAGCACTATTTGTAGTGTTTTCTTTTTTTCTTTCCCCAAGACAGTATCTGTGTAGCCCTGGCTGTCCTGGAATTCACTTTTATAGACCCCTTGCTTCTGCTTAAAGGTATGTACCATCACTGCTTAGCAAGTGTACACCACCAAGCTAGTGTAGTGTTTCTTACTGGAGTACTGTAGCACAGTAAGTACTGAGTTAAGAAGATGAGTTTAAGTTAAAAAAAAAATACCAACCACATAAAAACCACCCACACTTATGCTGTTTATACTGTGAAACTATAGGATAACACATGTGTACCAAAATAGTTGGTGAGGCAGTCTTACCATCTACATAAATAAGTTTAAGACTGTTCTCACCAAATGATTATTAGAAAAGGAGCAAGCCTGCCCTGTAGGATATTATTCCCTCTGTTCATGGATTTTTCTCCTACGCACAAACCAGTAATGGTGGGCCACTATCACCACCATTAACAGCAGCCAATCAATGATCCCTCCCTTTCAAATGTCCCATCTTGGACTTCAACTCTTTTAAATTGACCTAAACCCTTTCTCTTGACAGGGTTAAGATTAGCAGCTGGAAACATTTCACTGTATAAGTTGAGTAAGTAATCCAGAATGATTGCTGCTAAATGAACTGATACCACAAAAGAGACAGAAAAACACGAAGATCAATTCCTCATGGAGGTGAACATGGAGGCACACCACTCTTCCAATAGCCTTGCCTATCCCCTGCACAAAAGCAAAACCACCATGCTGGAGCTGGGCAAGGTGGCACACGGCTGAAATCCCAGCACTTGAAGAGGCAGAGGCAGGCAGATCTCTTGTGAGTTCAAGGCCAGCGTGGTCTACGACAGCCAAGGTACACAGAGAAACCCTGACGGAAAACAAAACAACAAACCCATGCTGGTTTGATCAAGTCTCTGTATCTCACTGGGCACCTTAGAGAACATGCAGTGGGAAAAGAGAAAATACTACTTGTGGTATATGGTCCTCATGTGGGTCCTGATTTTGAGAAAGTATTAAGGAAAATTATTTTGAGATACTGAGGAAAGTTCAAACACTGTATTCGACATCAAGGGAGCTTTAAGAAGGACAGTAAGAGATTATGATGTTTTAAGACAGACATCAAAGAAACATTTTGAAATAATTATAGGTGAAGCTATTATCTGTGATTTCTCTCAAAATACAGGAAGGGCTATGTGTAAGACTATGACTTGACTACTGGTCAAGTTGAGTGGAAGTATGTATGAGTCCCTATGATTCTATTGTATATGCCTCAGATATTTTAAGTTATGCTTAAAATGAAAGACTAAAGGAGGCTCCAGAGATGGCTCAGCAGTTAAAAGCACGTCCTGTAGAGGGTAGAGTTCCCAGCACACACATAGCAGGTAAGAACCTTTTGCAATGCCTGTTCTAGAGGGTTCAATGTCCTATTCTGACCTCCAATGGCACCAGGCATAGATGTGGTGCATGGACACACATATAGACAAAATACACACAAAAAAAACATTTAAATGAGTAATTTTTTGATTGAATGTACCTTTAATTCCAACACTCTCGAGTCAGAGGACATCTGAGAGTGAGGCTAGTCTACTCTACAAAACAAGTTCCAGAACAGCTAGGAGTAGAGCATTGGTCTCAATATGTGGGTTATCACACCTTTTGGTAAACATATATCCTAAAAAATTATTTACAATTCATAACACAAAAATTACAATTATGAAGTAGCAACAAAAATAATTTCATGGTTGGGATCACCATAAGAAGAACTGTAACTGTAATAAAGGCTTACAGCATTAAAAAAGGTAATAACCATTGAGTAGGGAGGTGTGCAGCCGGAGGAGTTGGACTTTGAGGTTTCAAAAGCCTATACCAGGACTAGTGTCTGTTTCTCTGCCTGTTGCTTGTAGATTAGGATGTACTACTCCAGTACCATGATGATAATAGACTGATCTGAAACTAAGCAAGACCCCAATTTAATGCTTTCTTAAATAAAAGTTGCCTTAGTCATAGGGTGTTCTCACAGCAATTGAACAGTAACAAAGACAGCAAAAGAGAATAAAGAATGTTGTTCCTATATGTATGAAAATATCACATAGTATACTATAAGTCTGTTTAATTTTTAGCATGTCAAATTAACAAAATAATTTTGTCATTCCTCTCTCCATATCACAATTATGGAAAAAAAAACCTATGGACCCTTTCAAACCAAGAGAAGAAAAATCTAAGGATGGTTAAGAATATTACTTTTGCTTAAATATGTAACATTAAATACTCAACAATATCTATATTGGTTTTTAGAGACAAGTTTTCTCTATGTAGCCACGATTGTCCTGGAACTCCTCTATAGACGAGGCTGGCCTTGAACTTACAGAGATCTGCCTGCCTCTGCCTCCTGAGTGCTCAGATTAAAAGTATGCATCACCACTACCTGGCACATTTAGAGATTTTTTTTTTTTTTTGGTTTTGATAGTTTCTCTGTATGGAGCCTTGGCTCTCTTGGACTCACTTTTGTAGAGCAGGCCGGCCTTGAAATCACAGAGATCCACCTGCCTATGCTTCCCAAGTATGGAGATTAAAGGCATGCAACACCATTGCCTGGTTTATGCCATCTTAAGATATGTATATGAGTATGAGTTTTTGGATTTTGTCTTGTTTTTGTTTTTTGAGGCAGGGTTTCTTTGTGGAATGGCCCTAGCTGTCCTAGGCTTGCTTTGTAGACCAGCCTGCCTCTGCCTCCCAAGTGCTGCGATTAAAAGTATAAGCCAACACATCTGGCTTATACGTCAAATTTTTACCTGAACTGTTTCCAAAATCCTCTGGGTACATAGTACTGTAGTCGAGAAGCGGCTAAATGCCCAAAGATAACCTGAAGGTGTCTTAGAACACCAATATTGTACTCTTTCCTATCTTCTGTTTTACTCAGTGCTGGTTTGTCTTCAAATTGTTGAGGATATCCAAACACATCATCCCTGGGATCAACATTGCTCTAGAAATCAAAAAGTTATCATTAATGAGCTAATCAGAACTTTAGTCAAGTAGGTTGAGATAAATTCCAGTTAGTAAACATACATTTTAACTTTGTTTCCAAGCACCTGATTTTCAAGAGGTGTATACATTTATTAGTCTTTATTTGTGCCATTTCATATTAATGAGAATGTAGAGATTAATAGTTCTAAAACAATGAAGCTGAACTCTGTTTAACATTACATAGAAAAATCAAGCCAATTTGCAATGAAGCCCTAAAATTAGAGCTAAAACAAAACTCTTAAAAAGGAAAAATTTTCAAGACATTGTAGCTAGCAATGGTTTCTTACTATGACATCAAAAGTACAAGCAACATAACAAGTTGGATCTCAGAAAAAAAGAAACTTTTAGGTAAGCATACTGCCAAGAGAGGCAACAAATTTAGCCTGAAAGGAAAATTAAAAGTCACTTATCTGATGAGGAAGTAGAATACAGAATATAGGACTCCTTAAACCCATAAATCAAATTTCAAAATGCAAAAATCTGGCAAGGCTTTAACCCCAGCACTTAGAAGGCAAAAGCAGACAAGCTTCTATGAGTACAACATGTTCTACCTTAAATTCAACTAGAATACCTACTATGCTTAAAACTAATAGCAGGGTCTAAGTGAGTCTATATATTCATGTTTGTAACAGAAGTATTCGTAGTAGCTAAGATGAGGAAGCAATCCAAGTGTCTGTGACAGATGAAAAAGATAAACAAAATGTGCTACATACAGCCAGTGAAGTATTATCCAGCTGGCAGGAGGAGGCCCATAAGTTCCAGGTCAGTCTGCACTATTCTCAAAAAAAAAATAAAAAAATAAATAAAAAAAAGGCAAACCTAGTCAGAAAAGAGCAAACACTACATGATTCCACTTATATGAAGTACTTTAGAACAGTCAAATTTATAGGTAGAAAAACAAAGCGGTGGTCAAGGGCTGTTTTTGAAAGAGTTCGGAGGAGTTCTTTAAAAATACACTTCACTTTTACAAGATGAAAAATTGTGGATATGGTGGTAATGGTATACAAAAAAAAAGTGCAATTAATAGTATTTAGCTGTATTCAGTAACACAGTTAAGATCAGGTGTATTTTAAGACTCTGGAAAACAAGTAGTAGAGTTGAACATTGCATCATGGGCCTGGAATCCCAGCTACTTAGGAGGATTACTTGAGCCCAGGAGGTAATGGGTAACCTGGGCAACACAAGTAACATGAAAATTAACAAGGTTCAAAATCATGAGAGCTACAAAGGAAAATTTATAGTTCAGTGGACATCTTGTGTTTGAAACCTTTGATACAGAAATAGACTGTATTTAGTTCCTAACCAGGTCTGGATACAAGCTTCCCAAGCTTTGGTAAAAAGTAAAAATACGCAGTCCCCAATCCCTGGACCATCTAAGACCAGTAGGTCTGGGGAAGTGCTGTTTTAGAAACAACTTCAGCTTCCAATTTTGCTAAAGGAGAAATACCCAAAAACATTTAGTACAATGAGAATACACTCACAGGCTTCTCACTTCAGTTCCTACTACGACAAGCAAGGATAGATAAAACAATAAAAACAAAGAGGCATAGGGTAGGTACAGATTAAAACCCAACTTCAAATTGGCCTTAACTTTCACCTTTTGCTACTGCTTAAAATTTTTCACTACAAGCAGCTTAAAACTTTGTCACAGGATCAGGTAAACAGTATTTAAAGTAGAGAAAGCAAACCAAAAGCAGCAAGCACAGATAAAAGTGAAAAACATCGCCTAGTGTGGTGGAATACACTGTAATCCTATCACCTGGAAAACCGAAGAAGCTGGATACCTTCAGAGGCCAGTTTGGACAACACAACAAGACATTCTCAGAAGGAAAAAAAAAGACAGAATCAAAAATGGAGCAAAAAAGTGAATACAATTTCAAATTGCATAGCTCAAGACAATTTTTTTGTCTAATGTGGCCCAGAAAAGCCTAAAGATCAGCCATTGGTGATTTAAACTAGTCAATCATTACTTTGAAAAGGTAAGTACTTTAACTGTTGTATTGGAGATCTTCTACAGTAAGTGGTAGGCCAAGTGAGAGAGGCTACACTAACTTTCAAACATATTTTGACAGTCTAAGGAAGAAACACAATTTGCTCTTCACATTCACTGACAGCACCTGTGGCTTCACAATGGTAAATATTGGGAAGAAAATTGATCCTGCAGACAACTTGTTTATCAGTGGATTTTGATATTCTGTGCAGAGGGGTGTTGGAAGGGAATTCAGGATCAATCTCCTGTGGAAACTGATTGGTGACTAGTACTTCTCCCCTCAGTATCCAATGAGAGAACGGTATCTGCTATCAGAATTTCAAACACAGAAAACAGAAGTAATAGAAATAAAATTTACCTCATTGTCCTGCTTCTCATCCCCAGACATATCATCATCTACATCACTACCTGTGCCTTCAATTGCAAGAATACCGTTCCTGATAGACGGAATCATATAGAGTTGCTGAATCACAGAATTCATGTAACAAGTAGCACCGGCATTTTTCAGCCCTACAAATCCTTTCGGTGGGCGGGGTCCAACAGGTGGCAGGTATTCCCACTCAGTAAGTGCTTCACAAGCTGGAAAAGATACAAGTCTTATAGAACGAGCATAAGCAAATTTGTGCTTTTCAAGCTGTTAATCTGACAAAATAGCAACACTACTACCTAAGAAGCCACTGGAGGCAGGGATCTCACTTGGCAATTCTCCAACAATAAATTCTTTTAAGATAGATAGCAACCCCTGTCAATGCAGGCTCCTTCATCCACCAATCTATGATACTAGTTTGCCTGTTTTTGAGACTAGGTCTCATATAGCCAGGCTGGCCTGGAACTATCACTGTAACAGAAAGTGATCTTGAACTTAAGATCATCCTGCTTTTACCTAGCCCCAGTGCTAGGATTATAGATATGAATCACCATGCCTAATTTCTATAGTACTTACTGGGCATCAAAGCTACTGTTTTATGTATGCCAAGCAATCAAGCAGCATTCTAACAACTAAGCTACATGCCAAACTCCCACAAACACTGTTATTTTTAATCTGATGTTGCTTCAATGGCAGTCTGATATATTCAGATGAGATATCATACAGCTAACATTTCCTTGTCAGATCTGATTTTATCTGTACTATCTAGTCATTACTTACTTTTTGAAAAACATTTTTATATATATATATGTTTGTGAACAGAGGCCAGAGATATGTGTAGAACCCCTAGGATTGAAGTTACAGTATCTGTGAGATAACCATTGCGGGTGCTGGAAACCAATATTAATATCACTTGCTAGGGGGCCAGTTAAATAAATGACAATATACTGAATGAAGTGAAAGCTACATAACTAATAGATGAAAAGGTAAACCATTAACATGTTGGACAAGGAAATGACAGTAATATCAAGTGGAAAACAAAGTGAACAATAATAGAGAGAAGGGAACAGCAGTTAAGAGCATTGCCTGTTCTTCTAGAGGAACTGAAGACACAGAGAAGATGAGAATAAACATGAATGACGGTAATAATTATAGCTAACTAAAAGGCCAAGGAAACAGATGGGGAGAAATGTACTTTTTAGTATATAATCTCTTTAGCACTTATTTGCTTTCAGTTAAAGTTGCCTTGCTCACTGTGTTTAATCACAGTGATAAAAAATTAATACAAACTGGTTGGATTCAAACTCACAGCAACCTTTCAAGGTACTGGGATTACAGGTGTGTATTCCAAACTCAATTTATACTTAAATGCCACCCCCTCTGGCTCCAGACAGTGTTTCTTTATGTAGCCTTGGTTGATCTGAGCTTGCTTTGTAAACCAGCCTAGACTTAGAACTCATATAGATCCACCTGCCCCTGCCTCCTCAAGTGCTGGGATTAAAGGCTTGAGTCACCACCCCTGAAAAAAATTTTAACATGCAAATATATTACTAAAAAAAAGAAAAAGAAAAAACAAAACAAACCCTCCCCATTAAGCTAAAAATTTCTTTACCTCATCACATTTATATTTCCTAGAACATAATGAGAACTTGAAAGAAATGTGAAGCCACTTTTCTGGGAGGGGCTGAATTCTGTGTCAAGAGAGTTAGGGTTTGGTTGCAATTACTGAGGCTCCTGACTTAATAAGCAGATAGGCTGTATTTCACATTTGAAAGATTTACATTTAACTTACAAAATACTTTGCATGTATGTTCTCTTATCTGCTAAAAGTCTTAAGACTAGTTGCTAACAAAACTATGGCTTAAAGATGTTTATAAAAAGAACAAACAGAATCTAAAAACAGAACCATTACTATAACCTTATGTTTGAAGTACTTACTAGTTATTGCTGTACCAATATAATACATTTCAGTCAAAGAATCTACTATCTGTTTGAGGTTTCTCACACAGCCAACAGCTAATGCTACTAGTAACTCAAAACCAGCATTAATCGTAGATGGTGAGCCACAGACAGGAATGGCCTGTTCAGCTGGGAGTTCTCCATTTCTCATATATTGCAGGTAAACATTAGATGCAGGAAAGATGAAATCATCGATTAATTCCTAAACAGATGAAAAGAGAAATATTTTAGGATTTCACACTTTCTTTTATCATAGAAAATGTATGTGGGCTTTTTAGAGAAAATACTCCACTTTTAAACACTACTTACAAACACACCTAATTTGTTATTTATTTGTTTTTAGGTATTAAGACATAATTGCTTAGTACCTAGCAATTTATATTTTACATTTACCTTTTTTTTGGTTGACAAGAGGCTCTATGTAACCCTAGCTGTCCTTGAACTCAAAAAGATCCTTGTGCCCACTTCTATTTTACATTTACCTTAAAAATCAAATTGCTATCAATATAAGCCAATTTTGAATAGATAAAATTATACTAAAATGACATATTTTTAGTCTGAATTACCCTGTTAAAAAAACTTATCAAAGACTGGTATGTATGATGCAGTTTTACAAAACACAGGTAGCCAGGTATGGTCGTGCAAGCTTTTAATACTAGTATTTAGGAGTCATAAGTAGGTAGATGTTTGTGAATTCCAGTACAGGCAAAACTATATAGAGACTGTCTTAAAAAAAAGAAACAAACCAAAATAAAACAATAGCATGATTCATTTAAATAGGCTTAGGAACAGTTTAGATCTTTCAAAAAATTAACACCAAATACTGACATTTTATATGCATATAGTACCCAGAAACATCAACAGCTACTGGAACACAACTGCTCTATATTATATGAACAAATATTGTAACCTTAGTGAAGATTCTTTTTTTTTTTAAATATTTTATTATGTACACAGTGTTCTGTCTGCAAGTACATCTGCAGGGCAGAAGAGGGCACCAGATCTCATTATAGATGGTTGTGAACCACCATGTGGTTGCTGGGAATTGAACGCAGAACCTCTGGAAGATTCTTAAAGGCAGGTTTTTTTAAATTATTAAAGTAAATTTTAATATAAATTCTATTACCATTTATTCACTTTATATCACTGCTGTAGCCCTACCCTTGTTCCCTCCCCTCATCTCTTTCCATGAGTCTTCCCCAGTCCACTGATATTGGAGAACACCCTCCCCTTCCATCTTGACCCTAGCCTATCAGGTCTCATCAGGACTGTCTTTCCTAGCCTTCTTATGTGGCCTGGGCCCTCATGGGGAGGTGATCAAAGAGCCAGCCACTGAGTTCATGACAGAGACAGTCCCTGCTCCACTTACTAGTAGGGAGCCAAATTGGAGACTGAGCTGGAAGGGGCTACCTCTGTACAGAAGGTCTAGGTTATCTCCATGAATGGTCCTTGGTTGGAGTATCAGTCTCAGAAAGATCCCTAAGCCCAGATTTTTTTGGTTCTGTTGTTCTCTTTGTAAAAGGTCAAAATAACACAAAGACCTAATATTGTTTAGAATCAACAACAAACTTACTTTAATGAGATTAGCACCTCCCTTTTCACAACCAATATGAAACTTTTTCTCAGGAGTCTGAAAAGCCAGTAACTCTTTTGTAACCCCAAGGTGTCCTTCAAGGATTGTTTCTTCTACACCTGTTTCACCTGTTCTTTTAACATCATCCTGCCAAAGGAAAAAAAATGTAAATGCCTAACTTATGGAAAGGAGAAATCTGAACAAGAAAGCTAAAGGATGTGCGACAATTCCTCCAAATCTTTCCAGTCAAGTTAAAATTATTTTGACATTTCAATACACATGTTTTACAGACTAATAGAAGAAATGCTAATCTGAATGCTGAAAAGATTTGGCTGTGAAATGTACCTCAATAGAATCCTATGCCTGAATACTTGGTCCCTAGATGGGGGTGCTGTGTGAAACACCTAAGAAAACTCCAGGAGGGGGAATTTTCCTGAAGGAAATACACTAATTACTAGAAAGGCGTGTTTGTTGGCTTTGAGCTTTGGCCTCACGTCCTGTTTACTCTCATTCAATGTGAATGACCAGCTTCCTGTTTCTGCTGTCATACCTTTCTCTACATGATGGCCTTTAAACTACTTCTCACTCGCTTTTGTTGGGATGTTTTATCATAGTAATCAATATAACTATAGATATCCTCAGAAATAAGTCTTCATATGTCTTTATATTCTACTATTTTTTGTAGGTGGGAACAACCAGCATTTCTTTAAAATGACAACTTGCTGATAGGCAAAAAAGCCAACACTGCAGCTAAAATTTAGTATGACAACTTCATACTTTACAAACACCAACAAGGCCTCCCTATGTAGCCTTGAACTCAGAAATGAGGGGAAAAGCTTGTACCACCATGTTTATCTTAAGCATAGCTCTTCTGTAAGTGGTAATGTATTCACTCAGTAAAATTCAACCCAACAATGCAATGTATGTTCTTTGGTTCCGCTTTAAGTTTGGAGTTCACTTCACCAAAATGTTCTAAACTATGAATCATTTATTAAAGAAGCATTATTTCTAATAATATAAACGAACATAGTATTAACTGTGACTTACCCTAATTCTTTTAAGCCAATCAATTTCATTATTGAGAAGAACTTCAGCATTGGGAACATTAATGTTACTGTTGTAAGCATAGTTAAGAAGGTGCCTTAAAAGAGTAAAGTAGTCGCCTGAATGTTTAGCCCTCTCTCTCGCTGTGCTCTGAAAATGATAAAATACATTATGATGATTCAGTATGTTCATGCTTGGAATTCCCTTGTCCCGAGTTAACAGTATGTTTTATTAAGTATATACTGTCCTGATACAACTAAACCCACAAATTCTTGAATAGCCATCCCCTTGTTGAAGGAATTATTATACTGGTAAACATTTTTAATTTAAGGCTCTTACCCCCAAGACAGTAAAGAGCAGAGTAATGAAGAAAAGTAGAGGCCTGTGTCCCATGCAACATCTGGTGCACATTAAGAAAAATTGTTCCTGTGCCACTTGGCGAACATTTCTGAAATGGAAACAATTTACATTTAATATATTGTTTTTCTCTTGGGAAGGGGAGGATATATTAAGAACATAAATACAATAACATACAGACATGAGACCTTACTATTTATTTCATGCTCAAGGCTATGACTTCAATACTGTCACTACAGAGGTTGAGTACTTTTTATTCTAACCTTTATCTAAAAATTCTTAATAATCTATAGCAAACCTCAAACACCTACCAGCCCTCTCCCACAGAATTTTTATCCAATTGTACTTCAGAGGAGGGGCCAGTGTGAATTACACTAAGAAAGGATACTGCTGCAGGTGTTCCTTATGCTGCAGTATTGATCCAAAAGCATGTTGCCCAGATGAGGATGATCAGTATCACCTGGGAACCTGTTAGACATGCCAACTCTCAAATCTTAAGAGAAATGTTAGTAGGCCTGGCCAAGAATGTGTTAATAAGTCTTTCAAATGATTCTGACATTCTCTAAGGACAGAAAAACCACTGAATTTATACAACAATTCCTCTAAGTTGACTCATGACAGCAATTTTAGCTAACCATTATGAATCAATCTTTTTCAGCAGGGCTTACATACTACAAGACATTCACTAGAATAAATTCTTCAACTGCAAGGGGACAGAAACATCTTGTTTTGACATGGTGATTCTACAACCTCAGAGTGTCTGAGAAATAGTCTATGTTCAAGAACAAGTTATAATTAAATCAATGACAATTAAACTTTCATATATAAGCCTAAATCTAAGATTTTTTTTTAAATTATGGAATGATTAAATGGTAATGCTTAGGCAAAATGTAAATTCTCAGGTTTAAAATATGAAGCACTTCTGGTCCCAAGTACCTAAGAAAGGGAGATTTACCCATTTATTAATAGGAAAAAGAAAAAAACCCCACATACCTTAAAAAAAAAAGTTGACAACTGAATCTTGGTACTCAAACTCTTGGTATGTTTCTTTTATTATTACAACCAAGATAAAAACTAAAATGAGATGAAGTACTTCCTGTTGTGGATGTATTGGTTTATGATATGAAAAATATTTTTGGTGAAATTTCAAGGTGAGGGTTTTAGTTTGTGCACAACTATTAAGTGTCTTGTGCAGAACTTGGTCTTTGTCAGATGGAATTTTAGTTGAATCCTGAGGACTCTGAGACAGCCCAGAGTAAGAAGGAGCTACTTGGAGGAGGGCACTTGCTGCTTGTTTGTCCTGCTGCTGCATTTGCTGTTTGCTAATTTGCCAGTTACCTGGACTTCTGGATGACTAGTATTGATTAGCATTGCCCTCCAAAAGAATCCTACGACCCTACCCAGCAGAAAGCAAAAGAGAGAACTCCGTCCCGACACCACTAACCTTCTTTCCCTCCCTACCCAGTGTTGGTTTGGAAGAGAGGTAGAAGTGTTTATTAACCCTAAATAAAGTAGGTTTGCTACAAAAACAAAAAAAAGTCAACAGCTTCCTATAGTACTTTGACTATCTACAAGTTTCAAAAAACATGATTAAATTGGGCCCATGATAGCTCAGAGGTAAACCTGGGCCAAGAATTCCAACCAGTACCACAAAAATCTGACTACCACCTACCTACACACCAATAGTTGTGACTTACACACTGGGAGCTTTATTAACAGAAAAGCAAAAAACCTATTACACTAAATTCCTTTTAATCTAGATTTGAAAACTTGCTAATTGGAGGATTTTGAAAGCAAAATCAAGGGAGCAAAAAACCAAAATCTGCTACTTTCTAGGTTTGTCCTCAGTAAAAGTCTTGATCTATCATCTTTCCTCCTTTTACCACCACCACCACCCAAATGCATTATTAAATGGAACTACAATGATTCATCCTATTCTTCATTTCCATGCACAGAGCTGTCCAAAGAGGTAACAAGCTTTCTCCTATTCTGCATGTTTGTAAACCATGAAAAAGAGAGATTTTTTTTCTTTTTTTTGTTTTTGTTTTTCAGGTCTCACCGTATATCCCTAGGTGTCCTGGAACTTACTCTGTAGCCCATGCAGGCCTCAAACTCACAGACCTAACCTAACTTGCTGGAATTAAAGGCATGTGTCACCACAGCCCAGCTGAAAGAATTTAATGGGCCAGACTGGCTGTTTTCAAGGAAATCACTCAAGGTTCTTTTCTGATCAGTAAAGATCCACCTTCATAATCTACTTAAGTGTGTTGTCAGGAGTAGGAAGAATGTACCTGACCCACTAGCGAGATCAATTAAGTTTTGTGGGGTTTCTCGTTTCTTTGTTTTGCCTTTTGTTTTTAAAGACAGAGTTTCTCTGTATAAGCTTGGCAAGTCCTGTAACTAGCTCTGTAGATGAGGTTGGCTTTAAACTCAGATCTGACTGCTGTTGCCTCCAGCTTACCCCCATGCTGGGATTAGAGGTGTGTGCTGACTCAACAACCACCATTCAGCTGTATTTGTGTGTGTGTTGTGTTTTAAAGACATGGCCTTGCTATGTAGCTCTGATTGTCACTGGAACATTTAAACCAGCCTAACCTCAAAATCACAGGGGTGCCCCTGCCTCCAGAGTGCTGGGATTAAAGGTGTGTTCCACGATGCCTGGCTTAATTAATTTTTATAATGTGAAGATCAGCACTACATTAGACGGCTATAAAAGAATGGGAAACATTTTCTACCAATGTAAATGCCTTAAATTTGAATAACTTGTATAAAAGCAGCCTGAAACAACATCAGTGATACTGATTAAATAGTCTTGAAATAGAAAAATAAGGGATTATAACCAATTGATCTTTAGTATAAAATTCACAAGTTCCAATGGCAGCCCTTTTATAAATTTCATATTAACAGTTGACACAAGACAGGCTAATATCCTACTGATTTTTGTAGGCTAAAACCAAACAAATTTAAGTTAGGGAAAAATTATTTTTTATTATTAGTTACAATTTATTAACTCTGTATACCAGCTTTATCACACTCCCTCATTCCCTCCCAAACCCTTCCTCCCTCCCTCATCTCTTCTCTGCCCCTTTCCAAGTCCACTGATTGGGAAGACCTCCTCCCCTTTCATCTGACCCTGTTTTATCAGGGTATCTTCAGGACTGGATGGAAAGTCCTCCTCTGTGGCCTAGCAGGACTGCTCCTCACTTAGAGGGTGGGGAGGTCAAAGAGCCTACCATTTGAGTTCATGTCAGAAATAGTCCCTGTTCCCCTTACTGTGGGAAACCAATTGGTTACTAAGCTACCAGGGGCTTCATCAGAACACAGGTTCTAGGTTATATCCATACATGGTCCTTGGTTGAATGTCAGTCTCAGAAAAAGACCCCTGTGCCCAGATATATTTGGTCCTTGTGGAGCAACTATCCTTTCCACATCATACTAACTCCCCTTCTTTCATATGATTTCCTGCACTCTGCAGAAGGTTTGGTTATGAGTCCTAGTATCTGCTTTGATACACTGCTAGGGCAAAAATTATTAAGCGAAATTTTCCTCAACATTAATGCAGCATGCAGAGTGAGTGCTGCGATATCTTGTGCTAACATAAATTTGACTCTTACAAAAATAGGATCAAGTTTTTTTTTTTAAATTAAAAAGAAACTTACTTGCTGTGACAGTGCAATAGTAAGTCAATAATAAATGTCTGCCAAGCTTTTTCTTTACTTAGAGCATCTAAGGCTGTTGGGATCAAGGCGAAACACAATGTCATCACTTCCAATGCTTCACAGCAAACCTGTTCATCTTCAAGATCTGGCTCATTGCCTGCATTGGTCTGTAAGATTATAATTGAAAACAAATTACTTAAAGACGCTTTTAAAGAAAATGTAACAAAAGTGTAAGGGAAACCTTCTGGCTGGTGAATGGAGGAAAATAGGGAAGGGGAAGGAAAAACAAATTTTGTTTGAAAAGTACAATAAAAAAAAAACCCAATTCTTTTTAAGTAATTTTAGAAAGTGTTTAAAAATTACCTGCTTAAGCTACTTGATCCTTCTCCTTACTCATATTAAGAGGTATTTTGTAATAGTTTGGAAACAACTATAATAGAAAATAAAGTCTAAGGCTAATACTTTGTTATGACATGAAAGGGGTTGAAGACATAAACTGAGCATATATGTCATTAAAAACTATGTAGTAAGAAGCTCCTGACCTTCTGAGTTGTGCACTTCTGAACTAACAACCAACCATAGGTGTGTTAAAACAAATCCACTATAATAAATTGTTTTTATTAAAACAATCACATCAGACAATTGCTTAGTAAGGGTTTTATAATTTTAATGCCAAATATGCTGTAACTTTATTGAAAAGTCAGTATGTGCTATAGTAATGCGACTGAAATAGGCTTTCAATAAATATACCAGACAGGCACTATACCAAACATACAATGGGAACATAGAAATAGTAATAAGGATGTATGTTCAATGTGAAGGGGATGCTGGACTGATCAAGTTTTCCTTAAGAAGGAAGCAGTGTGAGCTGGAGAGGTGACTCGGTGGTTAAGAGCACTGTTGCCCTTATGGAAGAAACAGGTTCAATTCATAGCAAGTGCATGGTGACTTTGAACTACCTGTAACTCTGGTACCAGAGGATCTAATCCCCAATTCTGACATCTGAGGGCACCAGGTCTTGGTACACATACATGCATATGGGCAAAACACATTCATAAAAAAGAAGATAAATGAAACTTAAAAAATATAACTTACATAGAACTGAAAGATAACAGAAAAAATTTAGAAGAAGCAAAATTTTGAGATAGTCTGACTTCAGTGAAATGGGAAACATCTATCTATTCATTTTTGAGACAATATTTCTCTGTGCAGTCCTCTATAACTCAAAGCCCAGGCTGGCCTCGAAATCAAGAAATCCACCGGACTCTGCCTACCAAATGCTGGGATTAGAAATGTGCACCACAATAACATGACAAATTTATTTTCATTTTATATGCATTGGTTATGTATGTATGTATGTATGCCTGCATGCATGTCTGTATGAAGGTGTCAGAGTTATAGACAGTTGTGAGCTGCCATGTGGGAGCTGGGAATTGAACCCAGGTCCTCAGGAAGAACAGTTTGTGCTCCTAACCTGAGCCATCGCTCTAGCCCCTTTTCTTTTTAAAGCAGCCTCAAAACAACATTAATTTTATTTTCGAAATAAATCTTTACTCAACTATAGCTTCAATTAGCAAGAGATTAGATTTTTAAAGATGAATACATTAGAAGTGTATCCACATGCATAATTAACTAACATTTATAAATACAGGATATATTTCACAATTTTACCTTCTCATAAACTTTTGTGACTTCATTTGGGCTGAATACCAGTTGTAATGCCCCACATCCTGATGTCCAAATAATGTTTTGTATAGCTCTAATTACACATATGTCAGGCATATACCTTGAAGCCTATAAAATAATGATTAATTAAAACTGTGATAAAAATGTTGACAACCACAAAAAAAAAAAAAAAAAAAAAAAGACAACCATTGCACTCCCAGGCATTTACCACAATAGAAAAGAAAGTTCAAATAATGGTATAAATTTCCCATAGCAATTTTATTCATACTTAAAAAACGAAAAAATCAAGTGAAATACATAACAATTCATGGAATAATCATAGTGAGATACGTTTTATTATATACGATGAATTTATTTATGTGTGTTTGAGTATATAGATATGCATGCAAAACTAGCTAGGTAGGTTTTTGAGACAGGGTCTCACTATGCAGCTTTGGATGTCATGGAACTCACTCTGAAGATGAGGCTGAACTAGAACTCAAGAGAGATCTGCTTGCCTCTGCCACCCTAGTGATAGGAGCAAAAAAATGTATGCCACCATGACTGCTTTATAATGGGATACTATTTAACACACACACACAAAAAGAAAAAAAAAAAAGAAATACTGAGCCTTAAACACCAACAATTTAAAAACTCATTCAATTGTTTATTTCTTGAGACACGGTCTTACAAACTGGCCTTCAATTTATTATCCTTTTGATTCAATCTCCTGTGTATTGGGATTACAGGCACATGGTCCAACTGAATAAAACTTAAGAAAATGAACTCGTGTTTTATGTGGTAATAGAGCTTAAGGAGAGAATGGACTACAAATAAACCATATGGAAGAGTTACAGAAACATCCTGTCTTAGGGATACTGTGGATGTTTTGATTTATGATACGTAACAAGTTTTTGGTAAAATGTGGATTTGGGGATTCTAGTTTGCTCACAACTTCTTTCCCTCCTACCATGTGTTTGGGGTGTTGGAAGAGATATAGAAGAAGCATTTAATAACCCCAAATAAAGAAGGCTTGTTAAAAGAACAGAGTCAACAGGTATGAAATCTTCGATTTAACATTGAGTTCGAATAGCACAAAAAATATTGTACAGTGTTTTTATGTGTGTGTTGTATAGAATTGTACACTGAGTGAAAAAGTATGTATACACTAAGAATTTTATTATACATTAGAAAAACGACTAAACTTGCAACAGTAAAATGAGTGAATTGAAAACTTTGGGGTTGGAGAGATGGCTCAGTGGTTAGGAGTACTGGCTACTCTTCCAAAGGAGCCTGAGTTCAATTCCCAGTATCCACACATGGCAGCTCAGAACCATCTGGAGCTAAAGTTCTAGGACGTCCAAATGCCCTCTTCTTATCTCCAAGGGCATCAGGCATGTAAGTTGTACAAAGACATAGTAAATATAGGCAAAACACACATAATTTAAAAAAATTTTAAATTGTACAGTAACATTCATGACACATAATACATTGTTCATCAGAAATATATGACTAACCTCATCAGATATTTGCTGAGCAAGACGAACAGACACATTTCTAAGCATGCATTCAGATGATGGGTTAGGAATGCTCTGAAGGGCACTCTGTAGCACCACTGCTTGATCATGAGTTACTTGGTTGACCTAAAAAAAAAGTTACTCATTTTATTTGCGTATTCTGCATATGACTTGATCCAATTATGTGTACCTCACTCACCAACATTCCCTTCAAATGTTTTCTTTCCACATTAACACCTTTCTCCACAATCCCCTATTCTAGATTAGATTAATCTGTCAATTTACAAACAGATCAAATTCAGTCTCATCTATAGATGTAGTAAGTCATGACAGGTATTTTACTTGTGCACAGTTTGGGCAGACCCTGCTTATAATCTCCAGTTAACAAATTCTTCTTTGAAAACTAAGACTATAGAAATTAATAAAACATTAAAAAGATAGCAGTACTGTTGATAGTATACTAAGTGTTTTAATCAATGAGAAACAGATAATGTAGTTAAGATAAATAATTCTGATTATCTTTCTGCTGTGGCTTCTTTCTCTGTATTATGGCACTAAATGCAGAACTCTCTACCTAGGTACAGTCCCCTGCTCTGTGTCTGACTTCATCTGGAAAGTGTCTTTAGACAGACTCCCCTAGCTACACTTGATATATGTTGGCCCACACAGCTCCCTGATGGCTAGTCCTCTTCTAGGCCTCTATGTTAATTAAGCACCAACATTCTACTTTTATGTTAATTAAGTATTGACATTCTGCTCTTACAAGGGAGAGTGCTGTACAATACAAATGAAGCATCCTTGAAGTCCATAGTTCCAACCAATTATGTAAACTTATTCTTGGAGACTCCCAACCACTTCCCTAGGGGTATATAGCCTTTGTTTTCTCAGATTAAATTTGAATAAACCATCAGCTGTTCCCAGGTGTGTGATCCCTGCATGGCTCTCAAAGGCCAGCTTCTCCAGCCCCTCCAGCCTTTGTGGTCTGCTGGGAGGCAGCCCCAAGGCAGGAGGAGAACCACAGTTCAGTTCTTGGATTAAAAATGTGCCTACCAGTGCGCTACCACACCTGGCCTAAAATACTAACTTTTCATTTTGCTTTTAATTGGCAAAAAATATTTTACATACCTTAGTACCTACAGCTGGAAAATGGCATGGTCTCTAAAGTATTATAAAAAAGATACAAAAAGGACGCACCTTATTGGCTTGTGTGTACTGTATACTTCATTAAAATCTAATTTTGTCCTATGATGTGATACAGGGTCTCAGATAAAGCTCAGGAGCGCTACACTCTTAGCTTTCTTTCTACTTTGGCCTTCCAAGTGCTGGGATTACAAGTAAGAATCATCACTTCCAAAAAGAACTTTTCCTTCCTTTTAAGGTACAAAAAATTCCTTTAAAAACTCTTAATTCTGAAATGGACTATAATAAAAAACAGTATGCTATTTTATTCATTTTTATCTTTTATTGAAAAGCTTGACCCTTTTCTTTTAGGTCTGATATTATGTAGACTAGGCTGTTCTTGAACTGGTGATCCTTTTGTCTTAGAATGTTGAGATTACAAGTATCCACCATGCCTGGCTGCCTAAGATATGAAAGAACAAACTAATACAAGTAAAGTCAGGTGCGGTGGAACAAGCCAACACTCTGAGAGGCAGAGGCAGGAGGATCTGTGTGAGTTTGAGGAAAGCCTGATCTACAAAGCAATTCCAGAACAGCCAAAGCTACACAGAGAAACCCTGTCCAGAAAAATGAAAAAATATAGCACAATTATTGGAAGCTGGAGAGATTGCTCAGTGGTTAGGAGCACTGGCTCTTCTTCCACAGGACCTCCGCTCAATTCCAAGCACCCACACAACAGCTCACATCTATTATTCCAGTTCAAGGGGATCAGACGCCCTAACACAGTCATAGTGCAGGCAGAGCACTAATGTACATAAAATTAAATAATTTTTTTTAGAAAAGAAAATACAATCATCTCCCAAGATGACCATTATTCTGCCTCAACTACTGTCAATTATATTCCCTCCTCTCACTTTCCCTTTCCATTGCCCTTTAGGATTGATAGTAGGCAAACTGTGGGTACCATAACACTTCATTTATACCTGGATGTGGTGGTACACAATTTAAATCCCAGCACTTGGGAGGTAGAGGCAGATAGATCTCTCTGAGCTCAAGGCCAGCCTGGTAAACATAGTTCCAGGACAGCCAGAACAATTCAAAGAAACCCTGTCTTGAAAAACAAATCAAAGAGTAAAAACAACACCCCTCTAACTAAAAAATTAAATTAAAAATTATGATTAAAAAAGCAACACTATTATAAATTATTTTGAAAACTAGCTCGGAAATAAAAAGGTTCTTCTATTAAATGTTACAGTATTATCATATGTAAAGCAATCACACATTAGAGGAGAGGCTGCTATCGAAAAGTAGATGAAGAAAATACTTATTTTACAAAACAAACAGCTGGAGAGATGACTCAAAGGTTAAATGTCTGCTCTTCTAGAGGTTCTGAGTTTAATTCCCTCTTCCAGCATGCAAGTGACCTACAGACAACACTCATAACAAACTAAGTAATTTTTGAAGAAAATTTCTTCCTTGAGACTTTTATTGTTAAAGAGAGGGTCCTCATTCTCTAGCCCAGGCATGCCTTAACTGCTGGGAACCCTGCAGGATCCCAAATTTTGTCTTCTTTGAGTAATTAATAAATTTTGCATAGTGGCCTTTAACTAGACATTAAACTCTATCTTATCTTGAGAACTTCAGCAAAATGAACTGAAGATGTCATCTAGGCAAATAGACAACTACTTCGTAATTCATTGGAGTTTAAATGAATGAAGATGGGAAAGAAAAATGGTAAAAGACGAAAACAGTAGCTGGAAAGATGGCTCAGAGGTTAACAGCACCAACTACTCTTCCAGACGTACTGAATTCAATTCCCAGCATGTTTGGGGGCTCACAAACATCTGTAATGAGATTCGGTGGCCTCTTCTGGTGGGAGGTGTATTTGCAAACAGAACATTGTATACATAATAAATAAATGAATCTTAAATAAATAAATCTTTAAAAAAAGACTACAATACAAGTAAGAAATTCATTCATGTGGAGATTTTCTGGTTTACAATAACTGACTGCAAAACTCAAGTAGTCAGAACTGCCCTCTTAAATTAGTAGCAGAAAAGCCAGTGTACAGTGTGTACTTTTAATACAAATATAGACTAGTAAGGGAAAATTCTTTTAAAAAGATAGCCAAAGCTGAATTCTAAACTTTAGAATCTCTAAGAAAATTCTTATCTACTATTAGTATTAGTCTGTATTTACCGATGTCATGGAATTCACGCCTTCTACACTTGGCTGACAAGCTTCTGCTACAGCTCGAACATGGCCATAGCCGATGGCAGTTAGTAACAGTTTGGCTATTTTAAGAGCATTGAGGTAGGCACCCCTTCGAGTTTCCATATCTGCATTTGGTAGGAAGTTATTTCTGGTTAGCATACTCAGGACAAGGGGCAGACCACCACTTTTCAAGAAGTGAAACTGAAAATCAGAGGAATCATCAGCCAAAGGTGCACCAGCAGGCATTAACAAGGCATAGACTACCTGAAAATACAAAGGGGAGGAAGAAAAGAGAAGGACATTATTAAAAGGGATTTAAAATACAACCTCCATTTCAGCATCAAGACTGCTAAGACATTACTGATGATTTCAAGACTAACTTCTTATAATCTTATACACACCCTTCATAGTATTATATCAAAAATGAATTTAAAAAAAGAACTAAATTCAAAATAAAAAACAAAAACTTTTAAACTAACCTCTGTTAGGTACAGCACTTGTGATGCTGAAGGACCAAAGAAGAGTGAGTCAAGAGACGGACTAAGGCTGCTTTCTCCAAGTTTAGCATGGTCCAAACAAATAGCTCTTAATTTTTCTATTGTTGTACTATCTGTAAAAGAGAGAGGCATATAAAGCACAGTTCACATTTATAGCACTTGCAGCATTTTCAAGAGCATGAAACAGCGAACAATTCACTTGAGCTACACATTGTTGAACCTCTGTAACACAGTACCATACTTGGTTGACTTAAAAAAGCAAACAAATGAGAAACAAAACATCAACCATGGCCTTTAATCACTCAGCCTAAACAAAAGAGAACAGTCTCTCATCCAGGAGCCTCCAGTCAAAATGCGCTATTCAGCTGTAGGAGACTGATGTAAACAAACCAACAAAACTTCCAAAGAAGTAACAGCAACAGTTCTTACCCCTAAATTTGTTTGTCTTAGGACAGTACATATCATCTAGTTTGTTTCACTGAGAGACATCATGGTACTCAAGAAACAGAACCTAAAAAAAAAAAAATCACACACACACAAAAAACAGAGCTGGGCACTGTGGCACACACACACACCTTTAATATCAGTGCAGAGGCTGGCATGTCTCTGTGAGTTCAAAGCCTGGTCTACATACTAAAATCTAGGACATCCGCAGGTACATCCTTTTGAGACAGTAAATCCTGTCTCAAAACAAAAACCAAACAGAAACAAACAAAAAAGGAAAAAGCCTCGAATATAGGATGGAACAAAAAAGTAGAAGGAATAAATGAGATCAAGTGAGATGATTCAGTAGGTAAATAAAATGTCCTTACCAAACTGGTGGGTAACTTGAGCTCAATTCCCTGAACCACATGGTGGAAAAAGGAAATTGATTCCAGAGGTTATCCTCTGACCTCCACACAAACACTGTGGTATCCACAGAAAAAAATGAATATATAATGCAACAAATGTCTAAGAAGAAAAAAAAGTTCACAGCCAAATATGGTAATGCATGCAGTTAGTCCCAGTTCCTAGTAGACAGTCAATCAAGGCAGGCAACCCAAGTCCAGCCTAATCTACATAGCAAGTTCCAGGTCAGCCAAGGGAAAAAAAAATATATGTGTGTGTGTGTGTGTGTATGTATGTATGTATGTATGTATGTATGTATGTATGTATGTATGTATGTGTATATATATATATATATATATATGGAAGCAATGAATTTTAATGATACTGGCTTATAATTTATCTATCTGAGGGGTCTGAACCAAAGTATTGCGCTGTGGCAATTCCAGGTCTAAAACATATGTAGTCCTAAAAAATATAAGACCCCGATCATATATAAACTTTTTACTATAAAATATAGGCATCAAAATATCCATTCATAATCTTGGCATCAATAGATGGCCATGGTCTTGAGTTATTTACTTATTTTTTTAGAAGATGAAGCAGTTTTATTAAAGCTTAAAGAAAAACCACAAGGCAGGTAAGCTGTAAAGCCTTAGCAGCTTCCTGGAGGAGGCAAATGAAGAGGGAAAGTCATGCTGACATTTAGGCTGGCAAAGAGGTCAGACGTTATAAAACAAGAGGTTACATTACAGAGAAGAAAGTACTAGGGGAAGGGGGGGGTGGGAAGAGGGAGCCCAAATGTTAAGGAAAGCATGTTCAGAAAAGAAGTAAATGAAATTTAAGCTTTACTGAGAAATTCAGAAAAGTGAGCAGGCTTCCAATCATGTGGTCTGAAAGCTTCTGCCCTAGGTTATTTTTTTTCCTTGTCTCTTTAAAAGAGACAATAAGTCCAAGCAATTATAAAATTACAGCAATACATTATTTTAAAAAGTAAAATCAGCCAAGCATGGTGGTATTACCCTCTGTGAATTCTAAGCCACATAGTAAGACCATCTCAGAGAACGAGTATGTGTGTACATGTGCCAGAGTCAGACAGACAAGCTGACAATGAATAAAAAAAAAACAAACTTACAATAGACTGGCATATTTAAAAATATTCTTTACATTAAACCCCTGGAAGAAGGTAGCTCTGAGAAAAAACAACTCATTCATCTTGGTAAAGTAATAGTTTAAACAAGCATTGGCCATTTCAAGTTTCAACACTATAGTTTTATTTTAAAAAGTTAGGTTAATAATTTAGTGTGTGGGTACACATGTAAGCTGTGTTGAATGCACACATGGCGCAGCTCACATGTGGAAGTCTCAGTACAACTTTGGGAGACAGATAACTCATTTTATGTGGGTTCAGGGAATTAAATTCAGGTTATAAGGCTTGTGCAGTACCATTAAGTCATATGGTCCAGACTTAGCTATTTTAATTAAGTGTGAAGAATAAAGAAGCAACCTATATGATTTGTTTGTTTGGGTTTCTTTTTTTTTTTTTTGCCTAAACTTCCTGGCCAGACAATGTCTCCATGTGGTGACAGTAAGTTCAAATCACAAACACAAGGCATTGCTGTTTTTTATTTTTAAAATATGATGTCAAAGTGGAATCTGCATACATAAAACAGTAACTGTCACCAACAGGTGAGGACTGAATTAAATTGAGGAGTCTAAGCTGGCAATCTATTTCATAAATTTATTCTGTCACCCACAGGAAAAAGAAAGCAAGAAAGATGAGAACAATGTGTGTCTATTAGAACAAGGTGTTTATTTTAGAAAACAAGAGTTAAGTGAAACCCAAGATAGCTTCAAATATTATGTGGACCAATTAAATATGATATATTGAGCTAACAATATGAAAAAGAAAAAGCCAATACTATAGACCTGTCAATAAATTATTCAAGGTGTAGTGAGAGGGAACAAAAAATAAATTGTCTATACGTTGGCCCACTCAAATGTTAATAGAAGACCAGAAAGAAAGCGTGAGTAAACGTTACTCAAATCTTGGGAGTTTTCTTGTTTTTAAATACAATATACTTTGTGTTTTTACTACTCTCCCAACTTCATCTATATCCCTACCTTCCTATTTGTTCTTTAAAAAGAAAAAGAGAACAATCATGAAACCAGTAAGGTGGGCCTATTGATTCCCCCAGCACTTGGGAGGCAGAGGCAGGCAGATCTCTGGGAGTTCAAGGCTAGCCTGGTTTACAGGGTGAATTTCAGGACTACGGGGCCTATATAGAGACCCTGTTTAGAAAACATGCTTCCCACCAAAAAGGAAATGAAATTAAACCATTGAACAAAAAAATGCCAAAACAAAACTAAAACACACTAGGACTTCATTTTCTGTTGGCCAACACATAGACTACCATGGCCATGTGAGTATTGGGAATTGAACACGGGTCAATTAGCAAGTGTTCTTAACTGCCATGCCATCTCTCCAGCCTTCTTTTTTTATACTTATATTTTAAAGAAAAATCAAGATAATTACGTAAATTCCGGAACCCCTCCCCCTTCTCCCTTCAACCCTTCATTATGTACTGCCCATCAAATTCATAGCCTCTATTTTTGCTAGACAGGCAGGTATTATTAGTCTGTATAATGCTACTTGTATGTATGATTTCACGGGACGCCAATTGGTACTGAATAACCATTTTGGGGGACCTGTTCCCCCAAATATTTTCCCTGCTTTCTATATTCCTTAGTTGTTTGTCCAGGGTTGAGGACCCATGAAATTTCCGCCTTTCATGTTAGCATGTCTACTGGTGGTGTCCTTGTTTGAGTCTCTATTAGGCACTATGTAGAGGAGATTTAATGGGTAAATCACTTTCCTTTCCTTAAAAAATACCCAATTGTGTTTGTATGCAGGACTATGTAAGCACCCATGCCATGGGCACACAAGTGTAGCTTAGAGTATAGTTGGGAGGAATTCCTTCTCTCCCTCCAGAATGTCAGTCCCAGGGATCAAATTCAGGCTTTCAGAGTTGGTGGCAAGCACATTTACCTGCTTAGCCCCAGGTAAAGTTCTGCAACTGGCCACAGTACATGTTTTAGGATGGGGAGGGGGGGTGTCACATGGTGTTTTCAACTGATCTCTTAGCTGTTAATCAACAATTGACGCATATGAATGAATGAGCGAGTGTGGCTGGAAGCCAACACAACTTTATTTGTATATGTGAATGAATGGTAAATGTGTGGAGCTCAGAGGACAGCTTAGGGAAGTCAGTTCTGTACCATGTGTGTCCTCGGTATCTAACCACAGTTCATTAGATAAAGGCATACACCTTTATCCATCCATTAAGCCATTTCACAAGACCGCAAACATATATTTATTTCATTTTAGCCCTTAAAAAATTTAGACGCTTTCTTTAGGTGTTGGGCAGTGTAAAAATAAAAAGAAGCTGTGGGAAGATTTTGGCCTATAGGCTAGTTTACCAACCACTGATACACGGTTCATTTAGAAAAATATTTCTTAATATATCCTTTTATTGTTAGCAAGTATATCATCACTGTAAACATCTTACCTGGAGGCATAAGTTTCATAAGCACCCTTGCTCCATCTCTAAGAGGTGGCATATTTAGGCTGCTCCCTAAGTCTGCAACTTGCCAAAGGAAAGAGATATATCTGGGATGAAGTGACATTATCTAGAATGTAAAATATACATATAATTAGCTGTAAATTACTCTTTGGTTTCAAAAAAGGTCTTCCTAAAGTCCTATCTCCATAGTTTGCTCCTGTTACGTCTTCAAGATACAGACAAATCACCTGAGCCACATTTGTAATAATAGCTTTCTGCCACCACGCCACTACTAAATTCATGCACTGAAGTTGCTGGTGTTACTGCAGCCATTAAAGCTCTTATGAGGAAAGGAGAAAACAGAGGTCAAGAATAATGGATGTCACTGTTTTCTTTGGACACAATGAAAAAAAAATAGATAATCCCTACATACAAAGTTTGGAAAGGATCTATTTTATAGTACAAATACGGAAGACAGTGGTAACTTTCTGAAAGAAATGTTATAATTAAACTCCAATAAGTAAATTGTATGCAAATATAACCAAATAGGTACTACAGGCAAGTTTTTCTTTTAAATATCAGCTGACTTAACAATTGCCATTCAGAGGTCTTCATAGAAGTTCAGGGATAATTGTGTACATACTTTGCCTTATTAAGTAGAGTTCCTCCGCAACAACAACAACAAAAATCCTTGTTTATGTGCTTGTCAATTCTCAACAACTCTACAATAATGCATTAAACAAGAGAATTTACTTACTACTCCAGGCAAACAGCTTTCCACTTCAGGATTGGGGCCGTCACTGTAATGATTACCATGGTTTCCAGGAGATCCAGTTGAAGAATCAGAAGAGCTATCAGGACTTGATGGCATGTTGGAGCTTATTTGTGTAAGTTTGGCTGTAATTAGCTGAAAATGATACATATTAAAATCAAAGACAAGAAAAAATAAATACCATAAACCAGAATATACGGAACCCTAGTGATATAACAACCATTTTGAACCCAAAAATGTGATGCTGGGTGTGGGGGTATAGAGTTGGTGCAAAGATCAAGAGCACTAGCTACTCTTATAAGAGATCTGGGTTCCCTGCAACCACATAGCAATTTACAACTGTCTATAACTTTAGTTCCAAGAGATCCAATGACCTCTTCTGATTTTCAAAGACACCAGGCACAAACATGGTGTGGACATGCATGCATGCAAAACAATCACATACATAATTCTACACAAGCATAGACAGTACTTTTGGAAATAATAACATCTGTTTTTTAGTGGTTATTACACAAAACTAGATGCTAGTATTTCAAAAAGTATTGTATCTTTTAATCACTATTTTTGATATAGTCTAATTTTCGCAATGCTTGTCTGAATCAGTGCTATAACCCTAGCATCTGACATTAAGATTTACCTAACAGGGGTACAAAAGGGAGTAAAAAAAGATTTAGATAACAAATATTTAGCAATGAAACACAGGCTGAGATTGTAGTTAAAAAAATGTTGGAGTAACTACAGATACTTACTGATTTATCTTTGAGGTTTAGTTGTCCAATCAACTTCCTGTCATCTCCAGGATCAATAAGCTCACCACCCACAAAGAGTTCAATTTTTGTATGAGCTACATTAGCTTTAATGCGATTGAGGATACATCGTCGAACTGAACCAATTGTATCATTTGTATGAGACCAAACCTCCAAGTCATCTACTTGTCTGCCCTGGTTTGGAAATCGAACTATAAAAGAGAGGTGTTTACCACGGAAAGCTCTGATGGGTAAAAAAAAAAAAAGAATGGAAAATAACATATTCAGCAGTTTTCCAAATTTAGGTGACAAGAAAATAAAGATGGAAACTTAACACTGAATATTTTATGAAACATCAGGAAGTGAAGACTTTTTAATAGCCTGAAAATAAAAATCATTTTACTTTTAGACTATAAACACTGGAATATCCAAACACAATGACTAAATTTCAACTGTTACTATTTATGCTCATAGCTATATAAAATAATGTACTTATAACAAATTAATACAAATGTCAGGCATGGTGTCTTATTCCAGTAATCCCAGCAACTGCTGAGGCAAAAAGATTACAAGTTTTAAGTTGAGCAACTAACTCAAAAGAACTATGTCCAACAAGCTAACAAAAGTCACACATAGTAGTAACATTTCATTCACTTTTACCCTTATATAAAGCCCAACTCATTAATCCTTGCAGGCTTATAAATACGCAAGATTTACCTTGAAAGTATCAACAAAAAAAGGTTATTGCGAATTTTGCCTGAACTTTATTTGTGATCTGACTGGGTAGCTTTGGATGGCCTGGAACTTGCTATCTAGCAAAGCAGCCTTCAACTGGGAGAGATCCTCCAACCTCTGCCTTTGTGCTGGGATTAAAGGCATGCACTACTGCCCAAAACATATGTTGGCGTATTACCTTGAAGGTATGATACAAAAAAAAAAAAAAAAAAAATCAAGGAACTACTTAACACAATTACCACTTGGATTACTAAAATGATAAAGCTTAAAATACTATTGGACAATCTGAAAATACTTCCTGGCTAGAATGGTTAACTGTCATGGAAGTTTTTAATTCATTTGAATTACTTTTCAATCTGAGTATACTATTTTGTTGTTTGCTTGAGACAAGGTGCACAGAATGAAACCAGGTTAGGTTCCTAGTGCCTGAAACTCATCTCACAGGGCTCAAGTGTCTGTAACTGTAGTCTCAGGAAATTTAGTATTTGTTTTCTAACCTCCAAGGGCAAAAGACATGCACATGGAACACATACATACGTGTAGTCAAACACTCATACACAGAAAGTTAAAAAAAGTAACTATACACAAAGTTCTTAAACAAACAAGCAAACAAACCAAAAAACTTCTTACTATGGAGCCTTGGCTGTCCTAGAACTCACTGTGTTGACCAGGATGGCCACTCTCAAATTTGCAACAAGACCATGTTCATGCCTTCTGAGCCCTGGGCTAAAAGTCATGTGGTGATGTTTAACAATATAAACAAGTATAAACAAGGCTGAAGGAATATCTCAAGTGGTTCAGAGTGCTTGGTGTACAAGCATGAATAATAATGAACCAACTTCAAACCACCAGCTCCTACATTAAAAGCTAGAGGCATAACGCTAGAAATGTTGGTGGCAAAACAGGATGATTGGGTTTTGCTGCCACTCTAGGTCCTACTTCAGTGAACCTGTCTAAACAGAAAAAGGCATCCAAAGACCTCCCGCCTCTACTAGGGGAGCAACGTGGGTGAACCTATATGTATATATACCACACAATTCTATTGAAACTTCTGGGCCTATCTGTTGTTTTAAGGGGCTTGCTACCAACCTGAGGACCTCAGTTTGGTCCCTGGGCCACAAAGGACTCAAACTGTAAAAGGAAAAGAACTGACTCCCTCAAACGGTACTCTCATCTTCACACTCACATCATGACACATGCATGACCACACACAAAAAATTTATATAAAAGGAACATAAAATAAAAACTGACATTGAAAGAATAAACGGTCAATTGCTCTAAAAAATTAACATGCTGGGCATAACTGACTAAGAGTGTAATTGCTGCAATGGGGAAGTAGTGATAATTTAAATCTGAAGCCATCCTGGAACATACACAGTAAGAACAAATTTAAACAAAACAAAAACAAACCCCACAAACTTTTGAAACATCTCTATAAGCTTTGACCTTCTCTTGAGTATTTTCTTCCCTAATACTGTTCTACCACAAAAATATTCCATAAATACTTAGTTTATAAAAATCAAGACACATTTTCAGAAGGACACATTTTTTTGTCTTTTCCTTATACACATTTTTAAAAATAGTGGTTAAGAAAACACCAAGTAACTAAAAATTAATTTATCAGTCATTCACAAACCTCGACATAGGCAAAATTGTTCTTTCTTCATGATAATCACTGTCACATTCATTTATATATTCTCTTAGAACAGTTAATACTCGGACCATTCGAACAGCTTCCTGTCTTGCACAATTAATACTGTCTTTGTCACCATCCAAAACACACAATGTGTCATAAGAGGCTTTCAAACGATCAAAGCATGACTGAATGAAGTCTTCATGAATCACCACCTACAACAGAGATGAGAACACCTAACAATACTGCTTTAAGGAATCATTGAAATATTTAAAGAAAATAATAATAAATATTTAAATAAGTTAAATATTTAAGGAGATAATTGTTTAAAAGCAAGCTAGTGTCAAATAAGTTAAAAAACATGAGATTTAAAAAAAAGAAATTTAGAGGATTATGCACTGGTTATGAAAATAAACTCAGCATAGTCTTTACTATTTCAATACAGAATAATGGACACTCAACATAATTAAATCACATCAATATTATCATCAAGGCAAAATACACTTAGATAGAATTCCATAAGAAATATTAATTCCATAAGAAATATTTTTGCAAATGTATGGATTTTGAGGCAATTTGTAACTGTAGATTTTTCTGCTTCACGCTTTCAGATGCCAAGATTATAGGCATACAGCACAAAGACCAGCTTTTGTATATGCTTGTAGGGGTTGAAACAAAACAATTTCCAGTTAATTCTGAATCAAAGAGAAAAACTTTAAACATGTTATAGTTCTATTAATTGAAATTCCAGTAGAAGTTTTAATGCACACTGATGCTCACCTGATTGACCTGCAGCCTTGGACCAAGGTTTGTGTATATCTCTTTAAGGAGATCTATAGCTCGGCTGGCAATGTCATCATTACTCTGAATTACAACCTACATTTAAAAAAAAAAATGTTTTTCAAGAACGTTTCAATTGGGCATTTAAATTCAAATTATATTCTCAGTTATTTTCAATTATACTATTTAACAACATAATGGTTAAGCTAAGTAAATGAGACAAACAAACCAAAACAAAAATTGAGATACAGCTTTCTGAATAATAATAAATGATATTTTACTACAAATAAAATATGCTTTGACCAAACTGTGAGGCTTTCAAGTTAGGAAAAAGAGAGATGCTACATGAAAAAAACTCAGTTTTGTAATTCACAAATCACATCTAATTACACTGATAGTTTTTAAACTCTCTTCCATACTCTAGGGTTTAAATGAAGTGTGTAAGACCTGACCTCTGTTAAAGACACTTGGAGAAGGCAAGGTGAAGAAGCCTGGAGACAATGAACACACAGCCATCCTCCATTCAAACACATTTATATTATATTTATATTATAAAAACATTATATAAAATTTGATTATTGCTGTAATTATTTTTGGAGGTCAAGATACCACTCTGTAGCTACAGCCTCAGGTATGCTCCAAATATGCTCCATGTACTTACTTAATCTGAGGTGCAAATCTGGATTTAAAGGGTTTGTAAGGTGATGGAGACTGAACTGGGGGCTAAATCCATGCTTAAGTATATACTACCTCTCAAGCCCCTCCACTGCTTATAAACAAAACCAAACCAAAACACTCAAATATAATAGGAAATACCTTAGTATATGTAATTTGCAGACATCTAAAACGTAAGTAAAAAACAGAAGCATCTATATAAAATCAGCCTAGTTTTTAAAGATAGAAATAAATCATGAAAGACAGTTTAGCCTCAAATAGATTAACTTTAACCTTTACAAGGTTTTAAAAGATGCTAAATTAAGGGGCTGGAGAGATGGCTCAGCAGTTAAGAGCACTGAGTGTTTCTCCGGAGGACCTGGGTTCAATTCCCAGGCACCCGCATCGTGGCTCACAACTGTCTATAACTCCTGTTCCAGGGGATCCGACATCCTTACGCAGATATACATGCCGTCAAACGCTAGTGTATATAAAAATTAAAAAAAAAGATGCTAAATTAAGCAATGCTAATAAAGAACACACAAATATAAGGATGAATCCCAGACTCCTGGGACAAACACCACAGAATACATAATTGATACGCCAAGTTTAGTTGTAGTTATTTATTCATTAAATATCAGATGCAATGTTGACAGAGCTTCTTCTAGTTTTGACTTACCCTCCAAAGATAGTCTAATCCTATCAACTCCAAATCATCCATCATATAGGCTCTTCTTTTTGCTACTAGTTTTCCTTCTCGACAATTCACAGCTTTGAAAAATCTTTCAAAACATTTCATTCCATTTTCAGTTAATAGGGAAGGATCAAGCTGAAGCACGTTACTTTCAAAGAAATCCTTATTGATATCAGGATCTAAGTCTGGTTCATCCCCCATTAATTTGGAATACCACTTAAAACAGGCTTCACGATCACAAAGGTAAACTGCATTCTCTGCTAAGCACTTCCATATTTGTTTTGCCTGAGGAGCACACAGCCACAGTTGGCCATCCTTCAATAAAAATCTTAAAGAAACATAGAAAAAATTAATTTATTTAATGTTTATCCTGAAATACAACCTACATGTTTATGTATGAAATAACAGCTCTATCACAAGTATACATATAGAACTTGTTTCTCAGTTTTTACCTGAGTTCCAGGACAACCAGAGCTACACAAAAAGCAGGTCCTATCAAAACAAAAAAAAACAAAAAAACAAAACTACAAACAAACCATCTGTCTTATACTGGTTGCTCTAAAACATGACTGTTTCCTATGGTCAAATAGAAGGTAAAGGGTAGTGTTTATTTACTAGCATAGGGTAAAATAACGTTCGTTTGCTTTAGGCTGAGCTGCTATTGTTCACAAATAAGTACTAACATAAACCAGCTGGGGCTGTAATACTTCATTTCCAAACTTCAATATGGCAAAGGGGCTTCTACCACTTTCTAGCTCTAAACCAAAACAGGTCATCAATAACTATGACTGATTATGGCAATAACTATCTATGTGAGGAGGCAGGACGTTCTACTCAAGTGATCACCTCATCAACTTTAAACAAATAGCAATAGTCTTAAAACATGGCACTGTTTTTCCCAAGTTAAATTCCTATTTTCTCCCCAAAACAAAAGGAGCAAAATAAGTCAACAGCTAAGAAAAAGACAAACCAAAACAAAAACACAAGAAATACTCTCCAGAAACTATCAGAACTACAAACACAACCAATTTTCAGAAGTACTGATTACCTTAGCATTTGTTAGCACAAACTACATATGCTGGAGATTCTAACTTACAATGAACCTCTCATTATAAACTTTTGACCACAAGGGAGTTTTCAAGACCTCTGTGTAGCCTTGGCTATGCTAGACTTGCTTTGTAGACCAGGATGGCCACAACTCAGAGATTCGCCCGTCTCTGCCTCCCTGAGTGTTGGGATTATGTACTGGACCAAATCTAGTTTCAAACATTTGAGTTCGGGTTAGTAAAATGTAACTATTTTGCTCATTCTTTTTAAAGATGACGTTATTAATTTGATTTCAAATTGACTTTGCCAGCCACTGTTACGACAAAGTACTACAAGACTCAGACCACTTTGGTCCAAGAGAATTTTTCTCTTAATTGCTTAGACCTTATGTTACTAACAATAGTACGGTTCTCTACCTGGACTGTGTAAGTATAAAAACTTATCCTTTAAAAAGTAAACATTTCCAGCATAACTAAATGAGAGGTCTACCCTAAAGCTTCAAGGAGTGAGAAGGTGACTGTGCTTACAACCAAAACACTAATATTAGAACATCCAGCATCACAAGATGATATGGCAAAGGGAAATAAAAAATAAAGACAGCAAGGTCAGTCAATGTACTCTTGTCAGAGAGCAATACTAATTATAGCAAACAAACCTAAGAAAGTTAAGTCGTTCTTGGACTTCTTGAACATGACTATATCTACTTCCAACTCTCACAGTTTGTGGGTCATAATCTTCATGATCTGAAAATTAAAAAAACAATGTATTATACATATGGATAATACCAATGTTGATTTCAACCAAGTAACTTGTCAGTTAAAAGAAAAAATTATTATTCTATCAGTATATAAGTAAGACAACTGGAAATCTACTAATTACTGGGACTTTCCAACCTAACTAAAAATACATTCCTTTTGTACAACCCAAAGACATTGATCTGCTAAATGTACTATTAAAATTTTTTAGAACAATCCTTCTTTCATATATTTGGGCTATCAATTCTGGGCAAATATTTTTTATAAAGTGATGCTATATATTCTTGGTATTACAATCAGAAGGCAGATATGTCACCTTGTGACAATCCTCACCATAGTCACTTTGATTACATCAATGTGAAATGGCTTTTCTACTACCAAGATGCTAATTTTTCCCACTAGTTTTAGCAACATGTCCTAATCCTAACATACAGGACATAGAGCTTTGGAAAAAAATCAAATGAAAGCCAAAAGTCAAGAAATAAGACAACAGAAGCTGAAGAGATGGCTCAGCAGTTAAGAGCACTGGCTGCTCTTTCAGACAACCCAGGTTCAACAACCAGCACCCACATGTCAACTCAAACCTGTCTGCAACTCCACTTCCAGGGAATCTAACACCCTCACACATGCAGGCAAAATACCAATGCACATAAAAAATAAAAATTAAAATAAATAGCTTTGTGCTACATGGGAAGAGAGGATTTCCTTCCTGTAGAAAGGCATATAGACTATTTTAAAAAGCTAGGCATGTTAGTGCACACCTTTCATCCTAGCACTGGGGAGGGCAAAGGCAGAAAGATCTTTTGAGAGTCTGAGTTGGTACACTGAGTTGAGGTCCAGGCCAGGCAAAGATACATAGAAAGATATTGTCTCAAAAACAAAACACCAAGCAAACAAAGACAATTGAGCTTTAATACTTATTCCAACAATTACTTGATTTGCTAGCAAATACGAAGACAATCCATTCCTGGCTTGTATTATCTATATGTGGCAGGTAACTCATTGAGGAAGTATATATGATCAATTCAGGCATCTTTGAAAATGGGTGGGAATAGGTATTAAATCACAGCTGGAAATCAACATACACGATGTATTAAGTATCAAGCTATGAAAGCCATTTCAGAATGCATTATAAGAAATTAACTTGGTGCTGGAGAACTGGCTCAGTGGGTAAGACTACTTGTTGCTCAATTCCCGACACATCACATAGTGGTTCAAACTGTATCTCCAGCTCCAAGGAGATCTGATGACCTCTTCTGACCTCTCTTCAGGTAACAAATATGTATACAGTACACACACACAAAAGAAAAACATTCACTCACATATAATAAATACATTTTAAAAATTAAGACAAATGTCGTAGCCTTGAATATCTCCCTTTATAGACCAGACTGGCTTCAAACTCAGAGGTCGGCTGGCCAATTCTACCTGAGCACTGAGACTAAAGGTGTGTGCCACCACCTCCCAGCAAATAAAATATTTTTTGCTGGTTTTTCAAGAAAAGGTTTCTCTGTGTACACTTGGTTGTCCTGGTCTCCCTTTGCAGACTAGGCTTAGCCTTGAACTCACAGACATCTACCTGCCTCTGCCTCCCTGAGTGCTGAGATTAAAGGCGTGAGCCACCATGTCTACATTTTAAGGGAGTTGTGTAATTAGCACTAGTCTTGCATATACTACATTTTCTGCTTCAGACTATATAGATCATCTAAGTTCAATCTTCATATACAACCCTTAGTATATTCGAGTTATTACATGTGTAAAATTATGTAATATAGTCTTTTTCTGAGTGGCCCCACAAATTAGCAGTTTTCAAGATTCATATGTATTGTAGCTGTTACTCTTTTGATATTCTGAATTAATATTTTACTATAAACACATCACTTTCATTATATCTTCAATCAATTAAGATATTTGGACTATTTCTACTTTTGGATATTATAACAAGTTTGCTATGAATGTTCACATCCAGGTTTACAAGTTTGTTTCCACTTATTGGGAATATGGGCCATACTATTGTAAATTCTGGTTACTATTCTGAGGAACTGCCAAAGCCCACAAAGAATGAAGCTCCAACTTCTGAAGTCTCAGTCAGCAATACCAAGTGTGCTATCAGCCTAGCAGGTGTGATCTACTCTATCTTGCCATGGCTATCTAAGTTCTTACTAGCTATCTACAGTTTTCTCTGAAGAAATTTCCACCTATTCCATATCCAGCTCTGAGTGGGTGGTACAACATAATGCACTCAGAGAGCATTACTGAGCCTTCCGTGAGACTGGGATCACAGAAGGGCTTCATTTTGCCTGCTATAAGTAAACTGTAAGTTGTACTATTTCATTGATGTCGGCAGTAAAAGACATATACCCATCACTCTCTCTCTCTCTCTCATTTTTTTCTTTAAGACAATTCACTTGACACAGAAGGCTTTGGTTTCTTCAGGTATAACCAACTGCAGAAACCCTGTCCCTTTGACTTATCTCCAAACTTTGAGCAAAATGTCTGTGTCTCTAGATAGGAATCAGAGGCAGGATAGCAACAAGATTCAGTATGTTGAGCTGAAAATAAGGCCATAGTATTAGGGCCCTAATCCAGGCCTACAACGTTTCAACTTATACAGACATTAAGTGGGCATCGTAATTAGGTCAAGACTCCTTTTATCCACATCTGCCTATAAATAAGAGGGTATCTGTAACAAGAACTGGACTAAGGATAAAGGTCAACACCTTGCTGTGTGAGAAGCCAAATACAGTCCTAGACTAGGAGTTGTTGGCAGAGCAATTACTCCTTAGTCAAACTAGTCCACAATAGTTGCCAGCCACACAATGAAGTTTACTGTGGAGACAAATGAACAGTTGTGGGTCAAACGCTTCTCTTCTGATATTTTTTAGATAACTCCTTGTAACAATTTCTAGGCACTTAAAAATTAAATTTTGTATTTTTACCCAGTTAAATGGTTGTTTTGTTAAGTCCACTGAGTCTTTTATTTTTACACTTCAAGAAGTTAAATCCTTCAGTTTCATTTAATGTTTACAATTGTCCTTTGAGTATATTCACATTGAATTTTTTCGATGGGTACAGCTATTTTCATTATTTTGATCCAGTTTTGGCCAATAAAAGCCAAATCCTTCATCCTTTATACATAAACTTGATTCTTTGGTCACTGTCACGCTTTTCTCAGTTAAGATGTCCTTGCTGAGGCATTTCTCCACGTAGAAAGAAAACGTTGCAAAAACAGTTAATACTATCTTTAAAAAGAAATTGTAAAGCCAAGAAGAATCTACATGAACTTAGTACTTCATGGCTGGTAACAAGGAAAAACGGTATGTTAGGTAAGTGCTGAGGCCAGTATAACTAGTTATCCTACCAGTGAATTAAAGCTTCAGTGAAAGAGAAGGTGCTTTACACCAGCACAAGAAAGCACCAGTAGTTCTAACACACAAGCAAATATTGGTGTCTTCCTTTATTTAGAATGTTAACAGTGTCAGGTGCAGCAGTGCATGCCAATAATCCCAGCACTCTGGGAGGCAGGGCAGGTGGATCACTATGAGTTCCAGGCAAGCCTGCCCTATAAAGTTAGCCCTGGACAGCCACAGCTACACAGAGAAACTCAGTCTCTAAAACAACTCCAACAACAACAAAACAAAAAAGGAGGGAAAAAAAAAAGAACATTAACATAGAAGGCAGAGCTGGGGCATGGAGGTGCATGCCTTTAGTTCCAGTACTGGAGTGGTGGAAAGAAAGCAGATTTTAGTGAGTTTGAGGCCAGCCTGGTCTACAAAGGATTCCCCGCACCAGGGGTAGGGGCTGGAAAAGCAACAACACAGATGGAGCCCCCAAAAACAAAAGAAGGTGGAGTCTACTGACCATTTAACTGAGGTGACTGAGGATGTGCTCCCCCAAACACCCTAGAACTGAAGATGGTTGTGATGAAATACGAACAGAACGTGTACTTAATGCTGATGCAATGGTTACCTATAATTTTAGAGTCAGTGAACTGTGAAAGCCTGATGTTATTCTGTTGAACAGCTCATCTATAATGAGATCCATGTAATCACTTTACTACGCACAAGCATATTCTGTAATTTAAATCGCAATTGCAAATTCAAACATGTTAGCGGCTTTTACCATAGAAGTAACGTCAAAGCTTTAAAAAAATTACCTCTTGCCTATAGACTAGTGTTCACTAGAACAAGACTGTTCTTGATAAGAACAAAAGGAAGGTGTGTGGTATCAATGAATTGAGAAAAATATTAAAATATCCAGTGCTTCCTATGTGCCAGATGTTTTATAGGGTAAGTAACTTGGTTCAAGATCATTAACAGATAGTATCTTTGGTCACATTTCAGACTCAAATGTGTGTGCAGACTGACACTGAGACATAATTCACAGGTAGTATTAGAAAAAAATAACGCAAAGCATTCTTGTAACCATAAAACTAAGACAATAATTCATGCAGAATTTGACTCAAAAAAAGTAAAAAACCTTAGTGAGGCTGAACTAAACTACGTGTACCACCTCCTCCTAAGTACCAAAAACCAGACTTCAACCTCTGAAATGAAAATCAAGTGAATAAAAATCAGCAGGAGAGTGCACAGTACCTGTATGAATCTTTTAACTTGGGGCAGAGGCTCTACTGATAATTAAAAATAATGTATCACCAATAGATCACAGAAAGTCTGATGAATTAAAATCCCAATATTTGAGTGTCTATGTACAGAGCTTATGATGTTCTTACTTCTCTCAGTGGTTTTGGCTTTCTTTGGTACAGAACATATACCACATGGTTATATACCTATATGGGCTTCAATGTTTTACCATGATGATGGGAAGAGACTTAAGACTGAAATGATAAAAGATCACTAATTGATGATCCTTAGCTCCTGATGCTGTAACTGTTTATCTGGCACCTCATTTAGGAGGACATACCTGGCCCAAAGGGGAGAAATCTAAAAGCACAAAGTTATCAGTATCAGTAGGTCTATCTAAACGGTGCTTTTTTATGAATTTTTAGTGTTAAATAAAATTTTGGTGATTTATGAACACGAGTTTGATTCAATGTCAAGGACATTCTACTGTAATATTATTAATATCCTCATTTTAAATATACACCACTACAGATCCTATAACATATCAAAAGAATGGTAAGTATAGGAACCATGTCTAATTCAGCCTATAACACTGATAGTATATAAAGTTCTCTCTGCCTGTGAGGAAAAACCAGCACATAGTAGGTGGATTATATTTTGGGAGTGCTGGACTATAAATATGGGATAAAAGACAGGAAAACGTGTACTAAGAAGCATTCTAGTGAAAAGATTTTGATATGGCTGTTTAGAAGGCAAACTACGTTGTGATGGAAGATATCCCTCATATGGAACACACTTCTGAAAGGTGAAGGTAATACAGGAATACAGGCACATACCTCAAAGGACATAAGTAATTCTTAACACTGACTGGCAGAACTCCAAGTAGAAAAGGAAAAAAAAAATTTCCCTCAGAAAGGCAAGTAGATTTAAACGTTGGACTGATGTTTAGGCTTTATAAGATCTCGAAGTATACATGGCTCTAAGTCACAAAATAATATAAGTTTTTAAAAATAAAATTGTCGTTCCTATGCTCATTAACAGAAAATGGCAATCATCGTTACTTCCTACAATTTAGTTATCTTACAATAATACATACCTCTGGCATACAGTCTCATGCTCTCCATGTAAGTTGCAAGGTTTTCTGCTACCAAAGTAACTAGGGCATGATTGTGCTGAAGTTGATTGATTAAGTCATGACGATAAAATACATGGGGACTTCGCTGAGTTTGACTGAAACGAGAAGAACTTAACAATATAATTAGGCAATTAAACTCTGTTGCAATCAAGAGTTCATTACAACTAAATTATTCACTAATTAAAAACTAATTAAAAAGTAATGTATCAAAAAATAAAAAATTATCACTTGAAAACAAGATTCAATTTCTATTTACTTCATAGAAATCTAATGATGGTCTACTCTTATACTGGAGTAGCAAATCACTGGAATACGTGATTTTTTGAAAATTATAAAACTCTAAATTTCTTTGTGCAACTACTATTGCAACTGCTAGTTAATCATGTTGTTGTTGTTGTTGTTGTTGTTGTTGTTGTTATTATTATTATTATTATTATTATTATTATTATTATTAAAGGCCAGAGTTGGCTTAGCAGGAAAAGGGACTTTCCCCCGGCTTAAAAATTTGACGCTGAGCCCCATAATCCTCACTATAGGACAGGCGAAAACAGATTGTTCTTTGACTGCCATACAAAAATGAGTCCCCATTCCCCTGGCCCAAATAAAAAAATGTACTAAGATTTAAAAAATCATTAGCTATTTAAGTTACACACTGGGAACATTTGGTTTGTAGCCAAGTTGTTCTTGTCATCAGAAAAATACTTAATTCTTTTCCAATTTGTTTCATCACATTCTCTGAAACTAGTCAACTTTCATAACCACTAGCACTATTCTCATACAATGGTCAATAATTTCTAGGAGAGTAGCTGAACACTGTATGTCTACCTGAAAGATAATAGAACTGACAAGTGGTGTATGCACACAGGACCCAACACACATAAAATAGATTACTTTGGCATTACTTCTGCCCCCCCCCCAATCTGTATCAATTAAACAAGGAAAGTGTGACTGTATAGAAATTGGAAAGGATGGTATTGTTCACATGCAATTTATGAATCTTGGTTTCTACTACACTCAGCTTTTTATTTTTTACTTCACATAATTTTTCCTTAATATGGCAACTATTCTAAGTCAATTCATTCTGATAAACAGATTTTGGAACCTAAAGATACTACATTTAGGGCTGTTCTTCCAAAGTTGAGTTCAATTCCCAGCAACCATATGGTGGCTCACAATAATCTATAGTGAGATCTTGTGCCTTCTTCTGGTGCACAGGCAGAATGCTGTATAAGTAATAAATCTTTAAAAATCAACCTAACAAAAAAAGATTACATTTATTTTACTCATTAATTTTATTTTACTCAGTTTACTTTTTTGTTTTTTCTGAGAAAGGGTTTCTCTGTGTAGCCCTGGCTGTCCTGAACTTTGTAGACCAGGCTGGCCTCGAACTCTCCACCTGCCTCTGCCTCATTGAGTGTTGGAATTAAAGGCATGCACCACTGTGACAGGCTTGCTTCTTCCTTTAGAAATACTTGATCTTATTATATGTGTAAGAGTGTTTGTTTACATTTACGTCCGTGCACCAATTATACACAATGTCTAATGCCAGAGAGGGCACAGAATTCCCTGAAACTGGAGTTAACAATAAATGGTTGTAAGCTGACGTTGAGACCTCTGGAAGAGTACTCTTAACCACTGTATGGGCCCCTAGTGTGTGCGCGCATGTGTGTGCGCGCATGTGTGTGTCTGTGCGTTTATATGTATGTTTGAGTTAGGATCTCACTGTGTAGTCCTGTCTGGCCTGGAACTCACTGTGTAAACCAGGCTGGCCTTGAAACTACAGAAATCCATCTATCCCTCTTTGTGAGTGTTGGAAATCCCTGCTGGTTGAGGTTGCAGTTCTTGCTTGAACCAGACCTAAAGGCAGAACTCCCTGCCCTTCTCTCTGCCTAACTTCATCTGGCAGACTCCCCTAACCACACTTGATACAAGCCTCTGACATAGGACCCTAACTCACCCTTACCTGTACCTGTATGTTAATTAAGCACTGACATTCTACACTTATAATGGGACACTGCAAATCAAGCATCCTTGAAGTGCCTAGTTCCAACCAATTATGTACACTTATATACCCCTACCCACCCCTCTAGGGGTGTATAGTCTTTGTTCTCTGGAATTAAAGTTGAACAAGCCATGAACTGTTCCTGCTGGTATGTGATTGGTATGTGATCCCTGTAATTTCTTGTAGGCCATTCCTGGCAAGAGTAGAACCCTCCTGGATTAAAAGTGTGAACCACCTGTGCAACACCACACCTGGCCCAAGATACTAAAGGAATGATATTAGAATGATAGTACAGAGCTCAGTGCTCTATCATACCATCCATCATTACATTTCCATGTAATTGAATCTTCTAAAAAATATTTTTGATAATTATGTGACAACATGAAGGAGCAATATCACCTTGATACTGATCACTTAATTATGGCTTACTTTCCTCATCAATACAAAGGAGGTAGGAATGACAACATTCTTTTCTTCCAAACATAGCCCTTGTCTTAGCTCCCTCAAACGCCATTAAGCTTCTTTAAAATTTGCTTTTACAAACTGAAATCAACAAACCAAAAATAAAAATATTTGAAAATTTCTAGTTTTAAAAGTCTTACCTCAAATTTTGAGGTGCTTCACCAAACAAACTACAAATTTCTCTTATTTGTTTCAGTGCAGGAATGACCCATTTGTCATTTGTGCGAAGTTCCTCTATAAAGCGATCTATCCATTGGATCTTCTGTGTGTCCCGGTCCTTAAACAAAGTCAATGTTTTGCATAGATCAATACTCAGGAGAATTATATCTCATTTAAGTATTTAAAGGTAAATGTACATTACAATGAAATTAAGATAAATTTATCCGTGGAATTATGAAATTAATTTTTCTTATATGAGTAACATAAGTAACTAACTGTAAGGACTTTAAATTTTTTATGAAGTGTTCTAGGTATGTCTTAAATTCACATTTACTACCAAAATCTTAAAAAAACGTCAAGCATCGAATTTACCATATATATTCAATATAGTTTTGATTTAAAATTTGGCAAGTTTGAGTTTTAACATTTTAAGAGATTCTATCTCATCACAGACTCATATATTAACATGTACTAACACACAGATGAAATAAATGACATACCATATAGAAAATTCTAATTGTTCTTAATATTTTATGAGTAAAGGAAACATTCATCTCCAAAGTAGGTAACTTAACTTTAATATTTTATAATCTATTTGAAACTAGTATCTTCTACCCTACATTTGACACACTATCAATAAATGACCTAGTGTTGGTACTTTCTCCATACTTTAATGCTTCATAAAACCAAAGAAAGGCAGACTTACATGAGCCATCAATTCTTAAAATCTTTAAAAGGTAATGGTAGAATAACCTGAAACGATGCTGCACTTAAACCATCCTACCTAACACTAAAGTTGCAGAAAAGTAACACAAGCAGGCCAAACAGCACCCCCTTACCTGGGAGCAACTATAATCTAGTATTTTGATGTGAGCACTAAGAGCCAGGTCCATAATATCTACAGGCACATCATCACTGTGAGCCAGATTCCACAGCAGGTTCAACACTTTATGTGCCATCACTCCATCTTTATCATCTTCTGCAAGACGACGAATCAGCTCAAGGAGCTTTTCACGTTGCTTTTTACTTGCATTTGTCCAACTGGCCTATAAAGACATTTAAATGACATAAATGCCTGTACCTAATTTTCTAATTTTCATTTCTGGATATGTGTGGGTAGGGTGGTAGATTTCTCAGAGTTTGAGGCCAACCTGGTATACACAGGGAGTTCAAATCTAGCCAGGGATATACAATGAGAATCTCTCCGACTTAAAAAATTTAAGAAATGCTTGTTATTTAATAGGTTCAAAAATTTGAAAATTAGCAGGTTCTTGATAAGCATTAAATTAATCCCAATCCCACACTCCCTTACCCTTCTCCCCCTATTCCTGTCCCTTCGTGCACTAACCCTAGCTTATCAGGTTTCATTAGAACTGACTACACTGTCTTCTTCCTCTGTGGCCTGGCAAGGCTGCACCCTGCCAAGGGGAGGTGATCAGAGCCAGCCATTGAGTTCATGCCAGAAGATGCCCTTACTATGGAACTTACTTGGAGACTGAGTCTATGGGCTACATCTGCACAGAGTTTTTAGGTATTTTCCATGCATGGTCCTTGTTTGGATTATCAGTCTCTACAGAGACCCCAGTGGCCAGTTTTTTCTTTTATTTTCTTTTTGTTTGTTTTGGTTCTGTTGCTCTACTTGTGGACCTCCTGTCCCCTCCAGGTCTTTGTATCTCCTCCTTCTTTCATAAAATCGCATGCACTCTGCCCAAAGTCTGACTGAGTCTCAGCCTCTACTTCAATACCACAATCAGTAGAGACCATCCTACAATCTCTCATGTTTCTCATAATCACCCTTTACTACTTTTGTACACTTCAACCTATTTCCAAAATATAGACTGGGAGAAGAAAGCCAAAACAGTAACTTGAGTTTTGAATAGGGATTTGAGTCCTTTTTAGTACTATTAGCACTATCATGAAAATTAACTCAAGTTCTTAGAGAGAACATACTGGCCTGTAATCCCAGCACTTGGGAGGCAGAGTCAGATGGATCTCTGTGCTCTGTGAGTTCAAGACCAGACTGGTATATAGCATTACCAGACAGCAAAGGCTACACAGAGAAACCCTGTCAAGGAAAGAAGGACGGACAGAAGGGAGGAGGGAAGGACAGAGGGAAGAAAAGACGAAAATGGAAGGAAACACTGACAAGAGTCCTTCAAACTTTCACAGTCTTAGGAGATTTTTTAATTAATTATTTGTTGGTTAAGAACAAATTGTGCTTCTAATGAATCAATTCTATCTAAAAATAAAATGGTAATAACTTTGCCATGTTAATTACCTTAAAGCAATCAAAAAGATGATCAAGTTGTTCAGGAGAAAAATCCCATGCCAATTTGGCCAGTAGATCATGTACATTCTTTACAATGGCTTCATGTTTCCCCGCCTATTGAGAAATAAAAAGATACATAGCACACCAGACTGTGAACAACAGAAACATTACATGAACTGAAATTATCAGCATTTCCATTTAATCTTTACATAAATTCTCAACTATTAATTCCTTAGATATAAAATCTGAGAATTCCATTTCTGCATATACAGTTAACATGCATTTTAGAAAAACCTATCAACAGGGGCAGGAGAGATTACAAGCACTGACTGCTCTTCCAAAGGTCCTGAGTACAATTCCCAGCAACCAAACTGTAGCTCCAAACCATCTATAATGAGATCTACTGACACTTTTCTGGAGTGCAGGTGTACCAGCAGACAAAACACTGTGTATAATAAATACATCTTTTAACAAAAAGAAAATCATATCAACTTTAAATTACAGTTTATTGAATATACTAATACTTTAGTGTCCAACATTAGACACATTATTTATTTTTTCTGCAAACTGGAACTTTAAATATTGAAAAGGAAAGCTATTTTCTGTATTTCTATAAACAATACGAAACAAAAAAAACCAATGACTTGTGAATTAAATCTCAACAATAAGTAGTTTCTGACTCTTAAAACCTTGAAAAAAAAGGGTTGCTAATCCTTCTAAAAAGTTTTGAGTCTTTTGGAATAAAAAATTTTATGATTAAATATACTGAAGGGTTTCAAAGTGTATTAAAATATCAATGAATGATGTGTAGTTTTTCTTTCAACAAATATTACTTTATTTTGTGGTACTAAGGAAAGTACAGTGTGCCACTGAGCTATATGTATCCCTAGCCCTTGTGTCAAATTTTTGCTTTGTAGCCTAAGCTACCTTCCAACACATAATTGTCTCATTTCTACTTCCTGTGTACTGAGATTGCAGATACAAACAAGCACACTCAGCTGCCCTATTATTTTACTTTTTGCTTCTATAACTTTTACCAAATGTGACCTGTTGAGTATTCAAGCATCATTGACAATTTCGGGAAGTTTCTAGGAGATTATCTTTAAGAAGCTATTAAAAAGTTTCAAATTCCTTACCTGTGCTGCCCAGATATTATCAAGATCTTGCAAGGTCAGAGCTTTTTCTTTTATGACAAAACGAAGTATCTTTTCTAGTTTCTCTACATATTGTGGTTGATGAAGACTATCTCGTAAAACTATGGATAAAATGTTGTTCTGCTGTATCCATTCCTAAATGTAATTTAAAGAACAGATTTCAAAACAAACTAAACCACAAAGACTTTCAATTTAAAAGTACTATAACGTTAACTTAAGAATATATAGGAATCCTTAAGCATATTTACAAAATATGCGCACAAGAACACATTGTCAAAGAACATTACTTTAAAACATTTATAGTAAATTCTTCTCTTTCATCAGTGAAATGGAATTTTGTTTTGTATTCTTAAATTTGAAATCTTCCTACCTCCTCCTCAAGTGTTGGGATTAAAGATAGAAGTAATCGATTGGGGAGTATCTCTATAAGTTATAAATGCTGAAATCAGTATATTACAGCATTTAACTGAAAAAAAAATATCATTTACATTCAACAATCACTAAGATTTAGGCACAAAGCCAACCTTGGAGATTTTAGATTCCTTGAAGTAATTTAGTATTAGGTTAAAAGATAATTTAAAAATTCTAAGATAGAGTAAATATATAGCAATGTCAAACTAACACAAAAATTATTATGCATTTAATGCCATTTTCTATATGCTTTAGGATGGGTCATATTGTTGTTCAAGGACTAGCAACATTCCCAATGCAGACAGGCATATAACATACACAAATTTAGACATCAACCACCTTAACTCCTACCCCATGTTCAGGGTCTAAATATCCGCCATGTATTTTGCTTTTGGCTGACAACTAAACCTAAGGTCTCACTGAGCTGTAACATGAACATATTTTTTATATATTTTCTTATTTATTACACTTTATGTACTTTGTATCCCAGCTGTATCCCCTTTCTCGTTCCCTCCCAAAATTCCATCCTTGTTCCCTCTTCTCCTCACATGCTACTCCCCAGGTCCACTGAAATGGGAGGTCCCCCTCCCCTTTCCTCTGACCCTAGCCTATCAGGTCTCAGAAGGACTGTCTGCACTGTATTCCTCTGTGGCATAATAACAGTGCGCCCCCATCAGGGGGAGGTAATAAAAGTACCTGCAACTGAGCTCATGTCAGAAACAGGCATGTTCCCCTTACTAGAACACCCACTAAAGAGACTGAGCTGCCATGGGCTACATCTATGCAGGGGTTCTAGGTTATCTTCATGAATGTCCTAGGTTGGTGTGTCAGTCTCAGAAAAGACCCCTGGACCCAGACATACTGGTTCTGTTGCTCTTCTTCTGGAGCTCCAGTGCCCTCCAAGTCTTTCTATCCATCCATCCCTTCTTTCATAAGATTCCCTGCACTCTTCCCCAAAGTATGGCTATGAGTCTCAGCATCTAATTTAATACCCTACTGGGTATTGGTCTTCCCAATAAATGGGACATCATAAAACTTCTATACAGCAAAAAACACTGTTATCAGAACAAAACAGCAGCCTACAGACTGGGAAAGAATCTTACCAACCTTTATCTGACAGAAGGCTAATATCCAGAATATATAAAGAACTCAAGAAGTTAAACAGCAACAAATCAAGTAATCCAATTAAAAAATGGGGTACAGAGGTAAACAGAATTCTCAATAGAGGAACATTGCATGCAGAGAAACACTTAAGAGAAATGTTCAACGTCCTTAGTCATCAGGGAAATGCAAATCAAAACAACCGGGGGATTCCACCTTACACCAATCAGAATGGCTAAGATTAAAAACAAAAACATACTGGAGAGGATGTGGAGAAAGGGGAACCCTCCTCCATTGTTGCTAGGAATGTAAACTTGTACAACTACTTTGGAATACAATCTGGCGCTTTCTCAGAAAATTAGGAATAGTGCTACTTCAAGACTATACCACTCATAGGCATACATCCAAAATATGTTCCAGTATTTAAAAAGGACATCTGCTCAACCATGTTGGTAGCAGCTTTATTCGTAAGAGCCAGAATCTGGAAACAAACCAGATGTCCCTCAACAAAGGGATGGATACAGAAATTGTGGCACATTTACACAATTGAATACTACTCAGCAATTACAAACAAGGAAATCATGAAAATTGCAGTCAAATGGTGGGAACTAGAAAAGATCACTCTGAGTGAGGTACCACAGAAGCAGAAAGACATACACAGTATATACTCACTCATAAGTGGATATTGGACATATAGGATAAACATAATAAAATCTGTACAGCTAAAGAAGCTAAGCAAGAAGCAGAACACTGGGTAAGATGATCAATCCTTATTCATAAAGGCAAACAGGAGAGACCATGGAAGATTGAGAAAACAGGGAACAGGACAGGAGCTCCATATTTAAAAAAAAAAAAAAACACATTCTTATCATATCCACTGTTAACAAAAGATTCTTGGAAGTAAAGATATTGGTTTGCTACAGGTGTCTCATGACTGTCACATATGTACTTACTTGAATAACATAGGTTTTATAATTTAAATACTGACTTAACTCATTAAAGCTACCATACATAAAATATATACAGGAAATAAACTTTTCATATATTTAATGCCAAAATGATACACACTTAAGTATTTTAAAAACTAATTCTCAAAATCAAGATAAAAAAGTAATTTGTTTAGCTCTTATTCTAATAATTATATATGAATATTATGTGGAATTCTATATATCATATCATATACTTACTATACATGAGACAGAGTCTCAATACTGGCTGTCCTTAAGTATACAGCAAATCTTTCTGCCTCTGCACCGCCAGTGCTGGGAATCCAGTTGTGCCCCACCACACGCATCTGTGTCTTTTGTGTTTTCAAGCCACTGGTCAAATGAACAGGCCCTTTCTTCAATTACGTTTCATGCTTTCCCTAGCTTACTTATATTTTAATTTCCCAATTTCTATAGCAATAATAATTACATTCAACAATAAATTTATCAAAGGCATACTCAGTCAACAAATAATTAGGCTACTTTAAAAAGTTCCAAGATTAACGAAGTTGTAAATCAATCAAAATATTCACTTTTCAACATTAATTTAGAATGCTAACATTACTTATTTTAGTGAGAGCCATTCTGGGCTTGAGTATTTACTTTAAAAAAAAAAAAAGTGAAAAAGACTCACAGCCATCCTTTCTGCTGTGAGCCACTCTTCTTCCTCAGCATTGCCATGACGATGGGTATAGTATGATACACTAGATATCACCTTATTAACTTCATTCAGTGCATTCATTTTTCCATTGAAAGAAGAAATTTGCAATAATCTGTAAGAAAAATTCAGTTGTAATAGGATTCTAAAATTTATATATGTCATTATTTACAAAAATAAAGAACTTACTTACCTAAGTATCATTTTTAACCTAAATATTTCTAAGTTCTTTACAGTTTCTTCTTGTCCAGGAACTCGTGAAGCTAAATTCTTCAATGATTTAATAATCATTGAAAGAGCATCGTTTTTGGCTTCATTCTTTGCTTCTTTTTTCAGTTCTTCATCAGTTAAGTTTTCTAAAAACTGTGGAACCATTTCTATTATTGGAAGAAAGTACTTTTTCACTGTGTTAAGAGTGAGAAACTCATAGCACTGTCCAAATGGTCTGAAATAAGATAGGAAAAAAGAAACTCTTGTAAATATTTAATTTCTTAAAATCAATTTAGTAAATTCTCATAATACATCCATTGTTTTTTCTAAAAACATCCAATTAACAAATAGTGTTGTGTATTCGCATTTTGAATAGGTATGCGCGTGTTGAGTACAGGTGCTCTCAAGAGGCCAGAGATGTCTGATCCCCTGGAGCTGGTACAGTTGTGAGCCACCTGATATAGGTACAGGGAATGAAATTCATATCATCTGAAAGAACAGCAACTTAAACATTGAGCTATCTTTCCAGCCAGCCCCACATACACTATTTCTGAATTGACCTAAAATAAAATCAGAAACCAATAGCACATTAACATTGCACTTTAAAATGTAACTTACTTAATAAGGGCTGCAATTATCTGAACGTTTAGTGCTGATCCATTAATAAAGCGATCATGCAGTATCTGGAATCCATTTAGAGTGCCAAATTTGTTGAGGAGATCTACTAGCCAACCCTGCAATATAAGTAATAAGAAGTTTACTCTCTTGGCGTTTAGGAACAGATATAGTAGTATTTTAACTGATATTTTTAAACCAATTAATGTCAAATCATTCTGGAAAAAGCTTCAAAACATTCACAGTAATCCACCTGTGATGAAACAGTGTTAAGTAGCAAGCATGAATTATATTACAGGAACACACTGGTATCAGCATCACTGATAAGAATTAAAGCCATGTTTCTATCTCAGCAATCCAACTGTAAGAGAACATAATATGGCTTTCCAAAATATCTGATACACCTTATTAAAACTATGAATAATAGAACTAAAAACAGAAGGGTTTAAAAACCAAAAATAACAAATCAAAGAAAAACATTTAATAATCTAATATTCTGAGAAAAATTCCTATTATAGTTATAAATATTTAAAATTTCCATATAAATAGAATAATCTTGAAGCATAAAGTGTTTAAAACTCAGCCACATGTTACAGGAATGGAATATCTACCATGAGCAAAGGATTGGGTTTGATATACAATTTGCATTGCAGGTGGAATAAATAACATAATTGGGTGTACACCCAATTATACTATAGTATATGTTTTGGATCCTTTGGCTGACTTATATGAATGCATTTGGTTCCCATTTTATTTATTAATAAAGTTTGCTACCTAAAATAACTTAAAATGAACTATGGTTACAAGAGAATTCAATACATTTGAAAGCTAAGTACTAAGACAACCTTTTAACAACTCGCCACCCTTTGAGAGGCCGTGTTTTAAAGCCAGTAAGAGGAACAAAACAACCCTAAACAAAAATAGTAACTACAGCTATTTTTTTTAAAACAGGTGAATGCTAAATAGAAGATTTTAACGTTAATTATTTATTTTAATGAGCAAAAACAATAAACTAATTGCATCAACCTAAATTCTAAGTTTTAATTTGCTCTTAGAAGACCATTTCTAGGTCATTAAACTTTTTGTATATTTTTTTATGTGTTTTCCTGTTTACAGTGAGTACACGCTTGGGTGTCTAGAAGCCAGAAGAGAGCATTGGATTCACTAGAGTTGAAATTAAGGATGACTGTGAACCACCATGTGGGTACTGTGAACTGAATCCAGTTCCTCTACAAAAGCAACAAGATCTCTTTAAACACTGAGCCATCTCTCTTGACCCAAGCCCCTAACTGTTCAGCTCAACAGATCTCTTTGAGGATTACTTATAAAAAAAAAGTACGTATTAATTATACAATATTAACTTTTTAATTTTTTCTGTTATTAGGATGAGACTATTGAGACTGTTAAATGATTCCATAGCCTAGAATGTGCATGTTCTTTTAATATAGTTTTTTCCCACATTTACAAGAATAGCATACATGCTGGGCATAGTGGCATACACCTTTAATCCCAGCAGTCAGAAGGCAAATCACTGTATACTGAGACCAGAGCTACATAGTAAGAAATCCTGTCCTGTTGTAAAACAACAAAAAATGCCATACATGAATTTTACCTGAGGTCTTTCCCACTTTTAACTCATCAAGTTTTTCGATGTAAAACAATCAAGTTATCTCACTTATCTTTAAAGCACTGGGGCAGAGGTATGATGCAGTTAATATTGCACTATGTTCTCACATAGGCTCGGATTGTTTAGTTCTGTCATTGCCTAAATGTTGAGGCCACATGAGTTCAACATTTGGGGGGTGGGAAGTAAAAACCTAGCCACAACTCTGGTTTAGGAGTAAGTAGGAAGGCTGAAAAACAGACTTGGAAGCTCAATAACTTGCAACTTCTCAAAGATCAACAACACAGGTCACTAATCATCGTAAGTTAACTTACAATTTAGAAAATTCACTCTCATCAACTATCTTCAATGATTTGAATTTTGTCACCACAAGCTAAGTCCTACTAACCTAAAAATCCAGAATCTAAAAGCTTTTTGAGCAATGATACATTTCAAATTTTTGAATTAAGTGTTCCATTAGTGATCTATGTAAAAATTAAAAAATATAGGGAGAAACAAATCTAAAATCCTTCTAGCTCCAAACATCTCATAAAGTATACTCAAACTTTGTAAAGTAAGAAGAAAAAAATATAAAGTCATTAACACTTCTTTAGGTTTTATACCAAGGTGCCTGCATCCAAACAGGGACAGCTAAAAATTTTTAATAATATATCCATGATAATTCTTTAACTTCATGAAGATTTAAACTTTTTATAACTTATAGATTAAAAAATGAAAAAAAACTCACAAAACTTCTCAGATTTCAGTAGAGTAGTTAACTTCCAAGAATATGGATTACAACCACAATTAAAAGTAACACACATAAACCCACAAACTCAAAGGCTTTTTGAAAGTCTGTCTTTTTTGACAGTTTTTGTTTGAAAGTCTGTCTTTTGACATTTTTTGTGTAAGAATCAGATTTCAAATACATAAAAAGTTATTTTTAGCCAGAAGCCATTCCAAAACTTCGAATTAGCCATGTTTTATCAAGTTATTTTCTGTGAGCCTTTTAAGGCAGTAGATTAGTGACCCACTGAGAAAAAAAATTGGAAAATGAAGTATCACATAGTAAGGTAACTTACAATTTGGAGACTATATAGACAGATCCCCACCCCAACACATACACACACATACACGTCCCTTCTCTGCAAAGTCCTGGCTGTCTTGGAATTCCCTTTGTAGACGAAGCTAGGTCAGAGATCCACCTGCTTCAGACTCGGGGGATTAAACGTGTATGCTACCATGCCTAGCTACAGAGAACTTTTGATTGTAAAGATCCTACTCAATGGAACAAGCCATCTAGTGGCAACACTGTGAAATAGAAAAATAAGTTCTGAATTTAACACATTGCTAGTGATTTCAAGCTCTATTAAACTAAACACTGTACATATGACTTTATTTATTTATTTTTGGTTGGTTAGAAAAAGGAAAAAAAAAAGGCAGGCATGGTAGCACACACCTGTAGTCCCAGCACTAAGGAGGCAGCCTGGTCCATAGAGTCCAGGATAGCCAAGGCCACAAGAGAAACCTTGTCTCAAAAAACAGAAAGGGGAGGGGGAAGGGAAACCCACAATCTTAAACTGGTTTGTCCATAGGGATAGGTGGCTCAGCTCTTAAGCATTGACTGCTCTTACAGAGGAACTGGGTTCACTTCTAAGTACCAACATAGTGACTAACAAAGCTACAAAGCTCTGTAACTCCAGTTCCAGAACATCAATGCTCTCTTCTGGCCTCTGAAGAGCACCAGGTTTGCACACGGTGTAAATACATACATGTAGGTAAATTACTCATGCACATGAAATTAAAATAAATAAATCTTGAAAAAAAAGGGTATCCTTAAAGTTTAAATTTGGAAATTGTGTTATTCCTAGACTTACTAAAAAAAGTATAAATTATAAAAGTATAAATTTTGAAGGGTACAGTAAAAAAAACTACCAAGTACAGTCTCTTTACACTGTTATAAGAATTGTGTATGTTTTCAGGTATATATTTTAGCAAAATTTCAAAGATTTACTATCCTGCTTCTATTTTATAATTTCTATTATTTTACTTTTATTGTATATTAAGCATGTATAGCATATATCTATTTTGGAGTTAAAAACTTAGAATAGGCAAAATCATTATGGCCTTATTAATGCAAACTTGGGGTTTTTAATCAATCATAATCTCTAATATTATTATAAAGAGAGTGTAAAATAGTAACCCAAACTATGACTATTTCTAGGCTAAGTAAAATAAACTATAGTTAATGCAACGACAATATAAAACATCTCCAAGTGCTATATATTTTCATTTAAAATCTCAAAGCGTATTCAGTTGTCAGATCTCAACAATTATTACACAGAAAAACTAATTAGTAATAGGAATAATAAAAGAGTTTGGTACAAAATAAAGAATTCAAGCCATAATGCAGAAATCTTTCAGACTGTAATTAAATCACTCTTTTGCCACATTAACATGATTAAAGTTCTATGGTAGAACAAACAGTATTTAAATTTGAAAAGAACAAACCAACACACTTTTGGTGATCGAGGGTCTGGAGAACGTGCAAAGAGCTCATCTTCAGGCAACTGAATACTCGAGGACACTGATTCACACGGACGTGTACCATTGTAGATATGGAATTTGCAATGAGGATTTAAGGCCATGGCAAGAAGTTCTAGAAGTGGAAACCAGTCTTGGGCTAACTTAGACACACACAGCTCCACCAGGCGATGAGTATTATTAATAATACATCTCTGTTATATATGGGAGAAAGGTGATTTAGAATGTGAAAACATTGCAATTTAACAGAATTTGTAACCCCAACTATCTTTAATGAGCTCTCCATTTTTTATACTGATTAATTGAATTATATTTAACCCACAAGAACTATGACCAAGTTGATTTGCTTTCAAAAATCTACCTGCTTAAAAATGAAGAAGGCACTATGAGTTGCCAAAATCTGCTCTATGTTTTCAGACAAGAAACAAATTCCCAGTTTTCTGAAATTGAAGTGATGTATCAGTTATCCCAGATGAAAGGATATACAATGCCAAGCTCTGTATTTTTAAACCTAAACCAGATGTTGGACCTTTTACCCCATGGTTGTAATTGAAAAAACATTCAGACCACAGAAACATCTTGTTTTAGGACTATTTCCACAGCGAAACAAGTTTTAGGACTATTTCCACAGGGAAACAAGTTTTAGGACTATTTCCACAGCGAAACAAGTTAACAGGTTTGTAGCATTTTCAGCATATTAGTACAGAACAACTTCTTTAGCTCTTGAAGTAAAATCTGTTTGCTCCCTAAAACTAAATATTAAAGTATTTGTTTTTCCTCTGTTCATCATTTGGATATTAGGGACCTGCAATCATTGTAAGTAGCTTTACTTAAAAGGGACGACAACCATAAATTGAATTTAGACTATAGAACAGTTTAAACAGTAGCTCAGGATTTAAATACTCAAGAGTTTTAGGTGCCCAAACTAAAATATGTATGTTTCTTTGCTGTCTTTTCTACACAGTGAGTTTGTTTCTCATTATTTCTACAATACTGACTTTTCTGGTGCCATAAACATGCGTTGTATTTTCCCCTTCTTTGGCATTTTACCTTCTTTAATACATAAAATAGTGGTACATCTTACAACTGACAGCATCAGATTTTTGATAAAATGCAGTGAACTACCTAAGGTCACAAGGCACTGGAGAGCCAGGGAAAAAGATCAAAAAAATCTTACACTAATTTTAATGCCCAAGTTGCCTCCAAAAGACATGGTTTACTATGAAATTACTTTAGAACTTACACGTTTATACTCCAAAAAGCCAAATATACCTATAATACACACATACTTGTCCTTCCCATCCAAAGGGTCACTATATAATCTGGTTTCTAAAAGTCAAATGGAAAACTCACATGTATTTCAAACTTCCAGCCACTAACTGCTTCATCTGTAAGGATTTTTGTAAATGAGATTGTTAGCCCATCTCGGAAAAATCGCTGACATGCTTCACTTTTAACATCAAGGCCTAAGAAATAAAAAATAATAATAATAATGCTCAACAATATGGTATGAAAGACTTAAGTAATCGGAAACCTGGATGACAGGCTAGCAGTTGCAGAGTACATCTAGAAACAAAAAAGCTTATAGCATTATCATAACACTATTGTTAAAGTTTCTGTATGTCAGAAAGAAAACTTAACGTAGAATTACTATTTAAAGAAAAATTTAGATACGTGTATGTAAGGACCTGAGTGTATACAATATTGAATGCAGGTATGAGGTCAGAAGAGGGTGGCTGATTGCCAGCAGCTAGCTACGGTTGTGGGCCATCAGTCATGGGTGTTAAGGATCCAAACCTGGGTCTCCTCTCCAAAAACAGCAAGATTCATAACTAACTGCTTGACTACCTCCTTCAGAACCCCTAAATCAAATTTTAAATTATGATAATAACTCAGGGATGGAGATGTATCTCATTGCGAGGGCAGCTAGTCTAACATGTAACAACTCAGGACTAGGGATATAATACAGCTCATTGCAAGGGCAGCTAGTCTAACATGTACAAGATGTTAGGTTTAATCACCAATAAAGTAAAACTAAAATAAAAATAAACAAATTGCTACAAATTATGACTCTATCTTAAAGAAAAAAATGGTCATTACCATGTAACACTCTAAATATTTCATAGCATTTTGTTCTGAAAATAGCATTAAGTTTTATATTCTATAATTTTTGAAATGTTTGAACTATGTACTTAGCATCCACTCACATCTTACTCTTCTCTAAATCACCAAGAAAGATGAATTATTTTGTCTTCTTTATTTTACTATCTATACATCTCTTTCTTCTTCCAAGAACCTATTGTCTTTCTTAAAAATGCATTATTTGTGTATGTTCATGCACATATGTATGATGTTAAGGAAGATGTGCCATGGAGGACATCTGGGGGTCAGAGGACAACTCTGGAATCAGTTTGCTCCTTCCACCTTGAAATCAGGTTACCAGGTCATCTTGCCAGCCAAACAATTGAGGTTGTCTTTGTTTTTCTCTCTTTTTTATGTGCATTTGTGTTCTGCCTGCATGCATGTCTGTGTGAGGGAATCAGTTACAGTTGTGAGCTGCCATGTGGGTCCTGTTTTAAATCACTGAACATGGACTTTTCAGAAATATAATTATAATACAATTTTTGTATAACACTCTTGAGGGTTGTCCTTTTTAAAAGAATGTGAGATCTATTTGTAAGATTATATAAACTCGCTGTGTTTTAACAAGAAAATTAGTTTTCAGGAATAAAATGAAAATTTATCTAGCAGTAGGTATTTAGAAAAGCATGACACACTGAGACATACCTTTCTTACTAAGATCAATAGCAGCTTCTAAAAGCACTTCTAATTCCCCTTTCGGCAAAACTGGAACAACCCAACGAGGCCTAGGAATTTATAAAATAAAAAGGCTTACTTGGTTATGCACTAAGTAAAAGAGGTACTATAATCAGTTACTAATTACAATTATTTTACTATGAAAATATTAAATATTAACTAAAATATCATTAAATATAAAAACAGTGGGGCTGGCTAAATTTTTTTTTAATTAAGTATCATTTGTCTCCACAAGCAGCCTTTTAAAAAGTAATATAAAATAAACTTTAATAAATATCAACTACGGGCTAGAGAGATGGCTCACAGTGTTAAGAACACTGGCTGCTCTTCAAAGGTCAATTCCTAGCAACCACATGGAGCCTAACTCATAACCATCTATAGTGAGAACTGGTACCCTCTTCTGGCATGCAGGAAGAACACTAAAATAAATATTTAAAAAAGATAGGCATCACAGAGGCATTATGAAAACTTCACAGTAGAGGGCTTTCAGGATTCAGATTAGAAGAAATGTTAAACTTCCTTACAAAGAACAAAAAACTCAGGAGGCCAAGAATGATTTATGCTTCATAATCCATCAACATTTTCTCACCAGAATCCACAGGTGATGCAGCCTTTAGATAAAAGTCTCAGTGTGGACCCAACCATCAGGCCATGCATTGTTTTCATAGTCTTTCCTGAAAGCCTTCGCCATTTAATTCAACCAATGGTTCCACCAAAAAAGGCAACCTTCTATCCAACCAATGAAAACTATGCTAAACGCTGGTGAAATGCCCACAACTACTCTTGCCCAATTAATAAAAGCACACCATTAATAACTTATTAGAAAAAAAATAACTACCCATCATTTATTTACAAACATCCTTTGCATTTTTCTTCCATAGAGAATTGTTTTTAATGCAACTTAGTGTCTAGTCTACATAGTTTACAAACCACCAGCCAAAACTGAAATGTAACAAAAGCATCTTTCTTTTATGTTATCTTTGCTGTTGAGATCGGGGACCATTATAAATATTCCTAACATTGATTTATAAATAGTTCATTGCATGTGATTACTACAGGCTGCTACTTGTTTTTCTTAAATGCTCCTTTTAACATAAACCAGTTGGAATACACCAAAGAAATGCAACAATTTAAGACAACAAAATTATACTAAGATTTTTTTATTTGTAGAAAACTCAATACATACATGGTAATTAACAAAAATGCAATATAAAAATGTACCCATAATGGTTAAAAACCGTTTTTGGTTCAAATATGTGAAGAGGAAGAATAAAGCTAGGAATGTAAGGGAGGGGTTAGAGAAATTTAATCTATTTACTATATAACACACAACATAGTTTATGCTAAATAATGCATACTTAGTACTAAGGAATTCAGATTTTTGTGTGTTATTTCTATACAAGGTCTCACTATGTGGCTCTGACTGTCCTGGAATTCACTCTGTAGAACAGGCTGGCCTTGAACTCACAAAAATCTGCCTGCCTCTGCCTCTGCCTCCCCAAGTGTTGGGATTAAAGACATGAATCACCAAGGACAACTCAGACAACTCTTTTTTTTAATGCGAAAAAATTATTTCCCTGTGTGTATACATAGTAGTTTTGACTTTTATTAAGTAAAAATACAAAAAAGTAAGGCAAAGCGCCTAGAAGAAAAGTGAATTTTCATTATTTTTTAAATGTTCTCATTTTTAATTAGTTTGCTTTGTATATATGGGTATTGTATCTGCATGTATGCTTGGTGCCTTCAGGGGCCAGAAGAGGCCATCAGACTCCCTGGATAAGGAATGAAGACAACAGCTATGAGCTGCCCTATGGAGACCAAGCAGTGAACCCAGGTCCACTGCAACAGCAGCAAGCGCTCTTAATAGCCAAGGCATTGCTCCAGTGCCCACTTTTTACAGGGTCCTTATTGAGCTCACACTGCCCAGTGAAAATCACACTCAGATGTGGTTTTGTTTTGGTTTTTGACATGCTCTTTTCTTTCTTTACAGCCTTTTCTTACCTAAACAACACCTTACAAACCTCATTTTCAAGAACAACAAAAAGTGTCTCTTGAGTCGGCATCAAAGGTAAACTGAAACTCCTTATGACCTGGTTTGCTTCAGGGCTACTGTAGAGTTATTATTAAAAGTCAGTCAAAAAGCAACATGCCAACTGAAATGCTTCACCAACTCTTAAAAAGGCAAACTACAACATAAACAGTTCTACTTTGGAAACATACAGCTAGGGTAATTTGAATTTTACTGATGATCTTGCTCCTTTTCATTAGCTCCACCAAGAAATGCAAGTTATAAAGTACTTGGCAGTAACTATGATGGAAGATTAAGGCAGCACATTTCTCGATGTGTTTGCGTTACCCAGCATACAGAAAGCTTACCCAGTATACATAAAACCTTGGTTTTCTTATACATTACACATTAGAAACAAAACCAACTGACCTGTTGATCATATCATCTAGCTTTGCCAAGTCAGTATGTGGAAACGCAGGTTCCTCCTCTTCAATCTGAGGAGGGGCATCACCTTGACCTTGCTCATCAGGAGGAGTTGCAGGGGAATTTTCATTAGAAGAATCAGGTGATGAAGTCTTGATTAAAAATTAAAAAATTACAGAAGTTAACACATACATCCAAATGCTAAGAGATGTAAAAAAAAAAAAAATGCTAGTAGCATAAAATTTTACAAAATGGAAAACACTGCAGTTACCACACAGCTAGGTCAGCAGAGAATTCCTATACAAATAGCTATTTTAAATACATAATGTTTTAAACAGCCAACAAAATCCTTGTCCAGTATATTTACATGCTCAAAGAAAATGCAGACAAAAACAATCTTAAACATCTATGATACCATACTAACAAATGAAATACCAGCAATGGCATTTTAATTACCTCCTTATGATCTTTTTATGAGCTAGACAAAAATTGTCCATGGAAGCATACATTTTCAATAAAACTGAGACTATTATCTGTCCTTTACTGTTCAACATCAAAGTAGTCAAAATTTTCAGCATTGTATTAATTAATGTAATGTAATGAATCTTTGTCAGGTATAAATCTTATAAAAAACAAGTTTCTCCTTAGGATACTAGATATTAACTACAACAGTATAGACAATTTCTCTTAAGCTACTGGCACATATTGCCAAATTATAATTTAGAACCTTCTCAGATACCACATCTGGGGAATGTTCATCCCACTTCTTCTTACTGATTTTTATGACATACTCTGAGTCTTAAAATTGCTTCTATAGAACCTGGAGAGATGGCTCAGCAGTTAACAGCAGTGACTGTTCTTCCAAAGGACTGAGTTCAATTACCAGCACCCACATGGCAGCTCACAACTGTCTATAATTTCAGCTCCAGGCGATCTGACATCCACATGCATGCAGGCAGAACACATGCAGGCAGAATACCAATGTACATAGAATAAAAATAAATTATAAAAAAAATGCTTCTATAGGCAGAGATTTTAATGCTGAAATTTTGATTAAGGCATTCCCTTTAAGCCACAGTGACGGCTCACACCCCAGCACTTGAGAGGCAGAGACAGGCAGATATCTAAGTTCAAGGCTAGCCTGGTCGACAGAGTGAGTTCCAGGACAGCCAAGGCTACACAGAGAAACCCTATCACGAAACGGGGAAAAGAAAAAAATAGAGAAATGCCCTTTATGAGCCAGCAAGATGGCCTAGTAAGTTCAAAATAAACAAACAAACAAACTTGCAGCTGAGCCTGATGACTCAAATTAAACACTCAGAACACACATGGTGCAGAACTGACTCCCTCAAGTTATTCATTTTTTTCAAGTCCCTTTATGTCAATAAATGTAAAGCCTATGAGAAACTAAGCCCAGGTCTGAAGGGCAGCAGTTAAAAGAATGCACACTGCTCTTCCAGAGGACCAGAGTTCAATTCGTACACCCATACTAGGCAGTATACAAACACCTTGGATACCAGCTCCAGGGAGTTCTTACACCTCTTTAGGTACGTAGCCACATATAGATGCACATCTGCACATATAATTAAAAATAACAAAAAGAAAAAAAACAAAACTAGTCAGGTGTGGTAGTACATGCCCAGCACTTGGGAGGCAGAAACAGGCAGATCTCTGAATTTGAGGCTAGCCTGCTTTACAAAGTGAGTTTTAGGATAGCCAAGGCTACACAGAGAAACTCTGCCTTGTGGAAAAATAAAGAAAAAAAAGACAAAACAAAACAAACAAACAAAAAACTAACCCTTATGGGGACACTGATTACAGCTTTGGTTGATCCTTTGTGGTTCAAAAGTATCAGATCTTGTGAAATAATTAAAGCCCTAATATAGTCTATAACAGTAAGAAACAATCAGAAATTCTAAGGTAAAAAGAATAATTCTATAGGCAAGAATGTAATTTGCTATCATTCTTTTTTTAACAAATACCAGCCATCTTCAACAGATGAATGTGTATGAATAACATATAATACTAGTATCACAAACCTAAGACCTCTTATAATAAAAATCAAGTAATTTTAAAATAAAAGTAATATATGCTTTTAAATCTCAGCACTTGGGAAACAGAAACATGAGCTCTCTAAGACTGAGGCCAGCCTGGCTTACATAGAGGGTTCCAGGTCAGCCAAAGCTACATAGTCAGTCAGAGATCCTGTCTCAAAATGACAATAATGTTCACAACTAGGATTTATTTTCACTGAAAGCCCTGCAAAGCCATGAACATTGCAGTAAGAGGTTAGAATCCATACACAATACAAGTGATGAAGCAAAAAAGGAAATGACTAACAGCTAGATCCTGGTTTAAAATATTAATCACTGGTATCAAACAGTCCTTTGACTATGCTTGAATACTGGCCTTCAAATTTATGTCCACAAGTTTTGTGACCATATATTACTATTTTATGTCTTAAAAATGAGAACTGAAAAGGAAATGAATTAACAAAGTTGACACATTTGGGTACCTGGCTTGCTCATTTCTCTCAAGTGGCAGAGACAGGGGGAGGCAGAGAGAGAAAAACGTCTTTTCTATCGGACTAATGAAGAGATAACCTGTAATAGCTGAATAAAAGAACCTAGCCTCAAACAAAAAATAAACGTAACCTATAATAACACTTATGCTTTAAAACTTACCCATATAAACTACAAAAATGTGGACCTCTGTAAGGAGCATGTCAGTTACTCACGTATACACAACTTCAACTAATTTACTTATGAACAGTACTACAGAAGCTGCACATTGTCAGAAATCTTACTTTTTGCGTTATTTAATTTAATTCTTCAAAGTATAAAACTGTAAATATTAGAAAAGGCTGAAGTAAATTTGAGACGAAAACGAGAAAAATCAAATCCAAGACGGGCAGTGGTGACACAAATCTTTAATCCCACCTCAGTAGAGGCAGAGGCACATGATCTCTGTAAGTTCCCTGGTCTACAGAACTGGTTCCAGGACAATCAAGGCTACACAGTGAAGCCCTGCCTCGAAAATATGAGAAAAGGGGGGACGAGGGAATCAAATCCAAATAAGGTAAAGAAGAAGATGATAAGGGTTAAGAGCGTGTGATCTGTTTTGGGGGAGAGGAGTTATCAAAGTCCAAAAAGCTTTTTTATGGGGGGGGCATTAATGAAATTCTTAAAACCCCTAGAAAGACTGATCGAGAAAATACAAATTAGCAGTACCAGAGATGAACAAAGACACTGCTACACGACCCAAAACTTAAAAAAAAAAAAAAAACTTAAAAAACTGAAAGGAGTATATTAAAGATGGGGAGTGAGGACCAGCTCCAAGTTAGAGCACACAGTTAGCCAATGCAAGAAAGGACCTGAGTTCCATCCCAACACCCTAGGGCATGAACAGTACTGCAAACAACTCCATCTAAATAAAGCTGGCACTCTAGATAAAGTAGACAAAACTGACCAGAAGATCAACCCCCACTTCCAGAAGCAACCCCCCAACAACAACAACAACAAAAAATAATCACTCCTTAAAAAACACTGTATCTAGGTTGGGCATAGTGGCATATAACTTTCATCCCAGCTCCTGGGATGCAGAGGCAGAAGGATCTGAGTTTGAGGACACCCTGGTCTACAGAGTGAGTTCTAGGACAACCAAGGCTATGTAGAGAGATCCTGTCTCAAACAGAAAAGATTCATCTATATAGAAAACTCGATTACAAAATCAAGTTTCATTACTAGTAAAATCTTCCTACTAAAATCTTTCAATGGGGGGAACCAGAATCAGAAGAACCAGGAACTTTATATAAACTGAGGGAGAAAACAGGAAAATAGTATTACCTTAACAGCTGTAGGGCAAGCAAAATACTGAAACCAGTCCCTACGCTTACATCTTGATAAGCATTATTTTACTTGATCCTCAAAAAATGCTATGAAGCTCTATTACTGTTATCCCTACTGTACAATGAAGATACAAGATTAGAGATGATGTGATTTACCTAGTCATAAAGCTAGTATGGTACAAAGGTGAAATTTGAACACCAGTTCAAGACTTCAGTTCATCCTCTTTATGATTTTATGTATATGGAATACAAAATGGAGGTACTATACTAAATCGTACAATGGTTTCTTCCAGAATTGACAGAGTGCTTAAATCATTCACTTTATTGAAGACTGGCAGTATAAGACATTTAAAAATGGGATGGGGTACATGGGGAGGGTGGAACACCCAACGTTGCTTTCAGCACTTGAGTTTTTGATTTCTGCTGAAGACCTGTATTTACTTTTTAAGAAATATTTTATGACTATTTTACCATTAACAGCCATAAAATCATAGTTTCCTTATTCAGCATTCAAGAATATGTAAGACATACTTATGTGGCTTTAACTAGTAGCTTTAATTTCTTACCTGATTCTGTGGGAGGGGGGGCTGAGACTGTCCATCAGGAGCTTGGCCCTGGTTGTCATTCCCTCCAACTGGAGAGCCACGAGTCGTGGCTGTCATACTCGACACAGGGCAGATCTTTGCAATTTTGTCTGCTTATGTAGTTGTCTTAAGAAAAGAAATTATAGTCCACTTATAGAAGATGAAGTACCAGCATTTGTCAGTCTTAAAAAGCTCCAATTCAAGAATAAAACATCTTGCAGAGACCATTGCATAACCTACCAAGTAGAAGGGAAAAGAGAACATTTTATTTTAGATATAACAAGCATGAAACTGTTCAAATTTAGGATCACCAGTAAATCAGGTCAAGAGAGCATGAGTATATAAATGAGAAGTAAAAAGCTAAAGCTTCATTATTATGTTCAATTTAAAATAATGGTACTGTAGCTATTTATACCAGAAAAAACACACGTTTAGCTATACCATGTAGTATTTCAATTTTCTCCTGGAACTGACTTCAAAGACAGTATGTATCAAGAAGTTAGCTGCCACTTGGTTAAATCATGGAATGGAGCAAACTCTCCTTAATGGCTAGTGCCTTTAAATACGTTGCAAAAGCATGTAACTCAGGAATAAACCACAAACTGACCTGTAAATTTTAAAACCACTCATCTAACAAAGACCACACACACTTTCTCCTCTCTCTCCCACTCCTTTCTCATACACATACATCTCAACCTTAAAAAATAAAAATAAAAAAACAAGCAAATTTAACAACTAGACCTTAGATTTCAGATTTTGTAATTATGAGAAATCCATGCTCTATTATGTACCATCCTCATTCCCAAACCAAAAGACCTCAAATCCCATTAAACCTTTTTGTCGGTATTTCTCTTTATGAAGAATAAAGTGTATAACCTACTAATCCAATATAACTTAATTCATCAAATAACCTTAGCTTTCCTCTTTTGATAAGATTTTTCATTGCAAGCACTCCTGGGGCCCTATCAAGGCAACAGGTCTCAAACACTTAATAACAAGCATTCTTTCCAACCTAACAAAAGTACACAGAATACAATCAAAACTTTAATTCCATATTCATTAGAAAACCTCTGCTCTTTTTCAAGAGGTACTTTTAGTAGTGCTAATGTCTAGGTTCGACATCAGGTGGGATCAGGCTATACACATGTACTTTAAAAACAAAAAAAGATAAAAAAAAAGGGCAAAAAAAAATTGTGATTGAGTCTAATGTGGCACTAGATTGAGAAACTGATTCTTTATCTTAATTTTCACCACTCTCACATTGCCCATAACAGCCCATGAATACTAAAATGGAAATATCACCTAAGACAGTCAAAGTTCCTACTCAGTCTCTTTGAGAGACTGCCTACTCATTTCTACTCATAACCTGGCTTAAGACATTCAAAATCAAATATACAGCATGACATATAAAACATATTTGGAGCTTCTGTGTACTTCAGTATCACAGCTATAAAGTACAGGAGGCTTTCAAGCATTTTATACAACTCATTTATTTCTCCTAGTCTGTGCACTACAGAAGGTAAGTATTATTTTCCTCATTTCACAGACTCAAATTAAAAGCTGCAGTTTATTCAGAGCCAAATGTAACTCATGTCTGCATCTACAATGTATCTTCTTAAAGGAAAAAAAGGGGGGGAGGGAGGAAGTATACCTTATCAGTAGATTAATGAGGAATATGTAAACAAACAAAAAGCCTAAAATAAAATGATAGAGGAATAGAATTAGAACAGACTTTTAAAAATACACACATAATTCCAGTAAAATAGACTTGTACGAAAAAACTTCCTGTCTCCGAAGAGAGAAATTGAAGATATCAGATCTCCCATGCTCGTAACATAACATACGTAACATAACATAACAACATAACATAACATAACATAACAAAAATGGCCATCCTACCAAAAGCAATACAGATTCAATGCAATTCCCATCAAAATACCAGAACAATCCTTTACAGACTTTGAAAGAGCAATTCTCAAGTTCATATGGAAAAACAAAAAAGCCAGAATAGCTAAAACAATACTCTACAATAAAAGATCGTCTGGAAGTATCACCATTTCTAATCTCAGGCTGTACTATATAGAGCTACAATAATAAAAATTTAATGATACTAGTATAGAAAGAGACTGGTGGATCAACAAAACCAAACTGAAGACCCAGAAATAAACACACACACCTACAGACACTGGATTTTTTACAAAGGAGCCAAAATCATACAACTGAAAAAAGACAGCATCTTCTACAGACTGGAAAAAGATGTTCACCAACCCTATATCCAACAGAGGGTTAATATCTAGAATACATAAAAGAATTCAAGAAATTAAACACCAACAAACAAAAACCAAATAATCCTTTTTAAACAGAGAATTCTCAACAGAAGACTATTGAATGGCAGAGAAATCCTTAAAGAAATGCTCAATGTCCTTAGTCACTGGGAAAATGCAAATGAAATGCCATCTAACACTCATTCAGGAGAGGATATGGATAAAGGGGAACTCCATGGCTGGTAGGAGTGCAAACTTACACAACCACTTTGGAAATCAATTTGGTGCTTTCTCAGAAAACGGAACAGCCCAGTTCCAGCTATACCACTGAAGATCCAACTATACCACTCCTGAACATATATCTCAAAGATGTTCCACCATACAAGGACATTTGCCCAGCTATGTTCGTAGCAACATCTGGAAACAGCCTAGATGTCCCTCAACCAAAGACTGGATACAGAAATTGTGGTACATTTACACAATGAATACTACTCAGCTACTAAAAACAAGGAAACCATAAAATTTGAAGGCAAACGGATGGAACTAGAAAAGATGCATGACGGTCAAGTTAGGCTCCTGTCTGCAGGCATAGCAGAGTATCATTATTAGTGTCAGGGGCTGGCTCTCTACCCTGGGGTGGGTCTTAGGTTGAGCCAATTATTGATTAGATAGTCCTTCAATCTCTGTTCCCTCTTTGTCCCTACACTTCTTGCAGACAGGGTAGTTTTTGGTTCACAGGTTGTCAATGGATTGTTGTTCCCCTCCTTCTATTAGTCCTGCCTGGCTAGGAGGTGGTCACTTCAGTTTTTCATGTCCCCTGGTTAGGAGTCTCACCTACAGTCATGCCCATTTCCTGCTAGGAGCCTAACCTGTTGCAGGCCTCCAGCTTGACAAAATGATCCCCCATCAGTTTCCCTTCTTGTTCCCAGCCCTCTCATATTCCACCCCAATTCTCCACACATCTAATCCTCAGTCTTGTTTCCCTCCCCATTCTACCTCCTGCCCAGTTCCCTCTTTTCATCTACTTCTGCTCCAGACAGCAGCAGACTGAAACAGATGCTGGAACTTGCAGCCAATCATGGGTCAGAGCTCCCGGGTTCCTGTGGAAGTGTTGGGGGAAAGACCTGAGGTGCTGGGAAGGGTTGATAAGAGGGAGGGGACTCCCCTTTTCTGGTTCTGGGGAAAAGGGAGAGAAGAGGAGGAATAAAGGGGAAGCGGTCACAGGAAAGGGTCACCCTGGGGGTGTAAAGTAAATAAACTGAAAAGAAGTTATGTTAAAGAAAAAAAAAAAAAGATCCTGAGTGAGGTAACCCAAAATCAGAAAGATGTAAAACACGAAACACATAGTATACACTCACAAGTGGATGTTAGCCATATACTATAGGATAAACATACTAAAATCTACAGAACTAAAGAAGCTAAACAACAAGAGGACTCTAGAGATAATACATAAATCTCATTCAGAAGGGCAAACAGGATAGACACCAGAAGCAGTTGAAAGGGATAGGACAGGAGCCTACCACAGATATCCTCTGAAAAACTCCAACCAGCAGGGGATAGAAGCAGATGCAAAGACTCACAGGCAAACTTTGGGCAGATCTCAGAGAGTCTTATGGAAGGGAGGGATAGCATGGAGGTTACAGGAGCTCCACAAGGAGACCAAAAAAGCCAAAAATTCAGGGCCCAGAGGGGCTGCAGAGACTGATGCATCAACCAAGGACAATGCATGGAGAAGACCTAGATGCTATGCTCAGATGTAGCCCATAGGCAACTCAAGTCTCCATGTGGGTTCCCTAGTATGGAGCACGGAGCAGTCTCAGATGAACTCAGATGTGTGCTTTGAACACTTCCTCTGAGGTGGGGTGGCCTTACCATGCCACAGAGGAAGAGGATCTAGGCAGCCCCGATGAAACTTGATAGACTAGAGTCAGATAGTAGTGGAGGACGACTCCCTGTTTTCAGTGCACTAGGGGAAGTTTACGGGGGGGGGCTATAGGACCAGGAAGCAATGTGGGAGGGGGCTACAATTGGGATACAAAGTGAATAAAGGTAAAAATTAACAAAGCAAACACCAAACACACACATAACTCCAATCAAAATACTATGCACTTGCCAGTCATGGTGGTGCAAGCCTGTAATCTCAGCACTTGGGGAGGAATAGGCAGGCAGATTTCTCTTAGTTTGAGGCCAGCCTGGTCTATAACACGAATCCAGGACCGCCAAGGGCCAAGGCTACACAGAGAAACTGTCTCAAAAAAAAAAAAACAACAACAAAACAAAACAAAAAAACCAAAAAAGTACCCACTTAATGAGTGTAATTGTAATTCAAAAGATAAACCAACACTGACATCGAGCACCCACAGACACACATACAAATTTATAAAAATGAGTATTCAATAAGGAGATGCAAGGTCAGGCTACCAAGTTTGAAAAACAGTACATTTGTAACATTTTAGACCATAGCCATAAATACAAATAACTCTAAGCAATTTCATAAGTTTCCTGACAGTGGTGGCACATGTCTTCAATCCTAGAACTCAGGAGGAAAAGGTAGACAGATTTCTGAATTGGAGGCCAGCCTGGTATACAGAGCAAATTACAGGACAACCAAGGCTACACAGAGAACCCTGATCTCAAACAAAGGTACATTTTTTTTTTTTTTTTTTTTGGTGGTGGTGGTGATGAGATATCAGTGTATACAAACAAAGCTCAGGCAATACTTTGCTGAGACTCGGGTCTCACCTTCTACCATGTAGGTCCTAGGGTTCAAATCTGGGTTGTCAAGCTTGATTACAGGGACCTATACCTGAGATATCACATTAGCGATTAACTTTTCTCAAGAATAAGATTTCATTGCCCTAACTTCCAATTTCCTTTATTTATCATTATATGAACTTATCATTCTAAATACTTATGATTCCATTCATTAAGAACAGGGTTCCACATTATGTTATTCTAGACAACTTCACAAC